GACAGGGTATCTCATCATCGGGATAAAGGGAAGAGGGTGGTTGGTGACTCATCCGAAGGACCCCAAGCAGACGAAGAAGAAGAGCCTCGGCACTGCCTCCCTGCGACGTCCCGTCGCCTGCACTGCCTCCCTGTGACGTCGGAATCCACCCATCACCGGCGCTACCTCTAGAATTTATAGAGTATGTTTATATTGAATTTAGGAATGCTTAGATTACATTTAGGACATGACATTATACATATGTGCACCACCCGATATGACAATCTGATATTTAGTCCATGTCCCCCGATATATTTTCGATTTCCGCTATCCGACATGGATTTCAGCCGTCCGACATTAACCCGACATCCGACATTTAAAACCTTGATTAAAATAACATAGGTTATATTGAAATAACGCATATTATATCGTAATAACGTAGAGTTATCATGTTTATGACTTATTTTAATGGGTTACATAATGTTTAGGGTCTATTAGGTTACATGACACAAAATAACGAGTTACATGACGGGTTCTTTACAACAATATCATGACCTATCAAATCCACCATCCACTTTGATATTTGACAAGTAGTTATTCTTTCTAAAATAAGAACAAAAAATACAGATAAAACTTGTGATGCTATGACCTATCAAATTCATTGCAAATGTTTAGACTGTACACACCTTATCCATGCTTCCAGAAGTATAACAATACAACAATCATGATCAGTGACAAACAATAGCCTTTTTAGGTCTAGGGATGCAATAACAGGTTATACTTCTACTTATGAAAAGGGCATATCCATCTCATTCTCATTTTTTTAACAAAAACTCATCCCCACCAACAATACTAAAACACAATAATCTCTAGTAATAAAATTTGCAAAAAATCAACATATTTTATATATTGCACATAAAGATCATTCATAGCAAGATCATTCATAGCCTATGTTTCCTAGGTACTTCTACTAGGAAGCTGGACCCGTGCCCGTGCCCGTACCCAAACCTCTTGGATACTTCTTGAATATATGCATATGTTTATTCGGGAGTATACTCAATTATATAATACGGGTTTTAATTTAAAACACTCTCCATGCACTTCTTGGACGTATATTCAACACTTCACATCTATTTCTTATATATTAATCTTATGCAAATGAAAAAACAATACTAATTTTATGTAAATTATTCATTTTAATACATATAAATGATGTAGGACGCTTAATCTGAGTTGGAGTCTATTTAGATTAGGAAATAAATTCAATTTTAGAGTCAAATTAGATTAGGAAACAAAATCAATTCTGATTCATGATTTGTTTCCTCTATTATAAGGAGTCTTTTTAGGATAGAATTTAACATTTTTTTTTTGTAATTCTAATCTTACTAGGAGTCTTATTTGATACTTTCTATTTTTATAAATCTAGTCTTACTAGAAGTCTTATTTGTTTTTCTATTTAAGAAGAGTCATGTAACCCCAAAGGAAAATAACTTTTCATCAATAAAATTTCTCTTTTCAATATTTTCTTCGTGGATTCGAAGTGCGTTCTTTGTGGATTCAGAGAACACCCTTGGTGGATTCCGAGATTATCACTTCCGCGCTACGTCAATTGGTATCAGAGCCTTAATCCTCCGATCCAATGACAGGTGATGAAGCCCCTATTCTTCGAACTGAGTTCGACGTGCTGAGGTCCGACGTAGAGCAACTGAAGACCAATGATGATCAGATGAGGGCTGTCATAGAGCGACTTACGATGGCAGTGGAGCGTCTGAACCCGATGGGAGTTCAAAATCGCGTTGATGGTCACCAACGACGTGATCTAACTCCATATGATGAATCCGACAGCGAGGAAGATCAATATGCACCACTACGCCGCGGTGTTTATCGCAGAGACCGTCGACGAAGGGAAAATTATGACGCTGGAGGTTTCAAGATGAAGATGGATCTGTCATCTTTCAACGGGCAACTTCATATCGAAGAATTCCACGACTGTATTGCAGAAGTAGAGAGGTTCTTTGAGTATATGGAGATCCCAGAAGAGCGTAAGGTAAAATTGGTGGCGTACCGACTCAAAGGTGGAGCTTCAGCTTGGTGGGAGTCTGTTTGTCTGAATCGATCTCGTCAAGGAAAACCGAAGGTCAAAAGGTGGGAAAAGATGATGAAATTATTGAGAGATCGTTTCTTACCTTCTAACTACAAACAATGTCAGGTGTCTTTAAAAGATTCTTTTACCTTAGCCGCTACGGTCCGTCTAACGAAGGTGGAGCAAGAACTTGAGCAGAACGACATACGACCTTTATCATGGATGTTTTTAGAGAGTTATCAAACTAGTTATGATTATGAAAAAATTAAGAAACCTCAATTCATCTCTGAGAAAGAGTCTGGATTTGTGAAGAGCACCGAGGAAGAACCGATAAAGACTTCATCAATTATGTCAAACCTAGAACTGAATGCATTTAAGACAGAGATTGCTAAGGAGAAGGCTTCTCTAGTGGTGGTAAACAACAAGACGTTCACCCCCGGAAAAGAAGATTTTGCCACCATCAAGATTCATTCTGTGGTTCCTGATGTTGATGATAATATGTTAATGAAGATGAATATTCTACATGATATTGTGAGTGATGTTACACATATCGATATTGTTCCGATGGAGGAGAAGGATAAATTAGTGAGTGAGACAATTGATGATATGTGTGAATTGCTTGGTGGAGGGCTAGAGACAAAGGAGATGAAAGAATTGTGTATGGAGTATGACACGAGAGAGATTTTCTTCCCTAGAAGAAAAGTTGGTGAATAATTTTAAAAATGATTTGATGATACTTCAAGCACTAGAATATGAGAAGCAACATGGAACATATTTTGAGGAGTTTTTGAAGTCAACTGCACATCCACATGCCGCTAATAAAATACACATGATGTCAGAAAGAATAATATATGAATTTGATTCAGAAGAAGTCCTAACCGAGAAGGTAAAAGAACAAATGGAGAAAATCAATGCTAAGTACAAGGCGGATGCTGATCGATGCAGGTTAAGAAAGTTACTTATCGATGGAGTTACTATTCAAGCAAATATAAGCTCGAGGTCGAGCTTCTTTCAACAAGGGAAGACTGATGTAGGACGCTTAATCTGAGTTGGAGTCTATTTAGATTAGGGAATATAGATTAGGAAATAAATTTAATTTTAGAGTCAAATTAGATTAGGAAACAAAATCAATTCCGATTCATGATTTGTTTCCTCTATTATAAGGAGTCTTTTTAGGATAGAATTTGACACTTTCTTTTTTGTGTAATTCTAGTCTTACTAGGAGTCTTATTTGATACTTTCTATAGATAGAATTTGACACTTTCTTTTTTGTGTAATTCTAGTCTTACTAGGAGTCTTATTTGATACTTTCTATTTTTATAATTCTAGTCTTACTAGGAGTCTTATTTGTTTTTCTATTTAAGAAGAGTCATGTAACCCCAAAGGAGAATACATTTTCATCAATAAAATTTCTCTTTTCAATATTTTCTTCGTGGATTCGAAGATCGTTCTTTGTGGATTTAGAGAACACCATTGGTGAATTCCGAGGTTATCACTTCCACACTGCGTCAATAAATATACATAACATGCATATATAAAGTGTCCCCATACCTATCTTTTACAAATTTACCGTGTCCCGTACCCATACCCGTACTAGTACCGTACCCATGCAACTTAGATCATAGCAAGTGTATGAAAAAGCTTCATCTCGATTACACCAAACATCTTCTCTACTTTGGTAAGTCGAAATACAACGGTCACTAGTATGCTAAAAATGGCAAATGCAACAAACACTAAAAGGGAAAGAAAAACCATAACTTATTTCCAGAATAGTAACATTAAATTTTCCTCGAATGCATCAAGAAAAAAAATCTTTCTTCGAGCCATCAAAAATTGGCATAATGAGACTCTTGTGCCATGACAAACAATGCTTTCCAGACAAAGAAATCTGACAATGCACTACTGCTCTAACCGACAAGAAGAAGCTCTGACTCCCTTGTTCCTAGAGATCCAACAATTCATTACTGCTCTGACAGAGTAACTTTTCTAATCAACAAATAGAAAATCTGACTCCTCTAAATCCTAATTAAAGTTCACACCAATAACACGCCTAAACGCAATGATTTATATTTCCTAAATTCAACAGCTTTCCATAAGATCATCAAAAAAATGATCTTAGAATGTAAGAAATACTTCCAAAAGTAACATGGCATACTCTCCAACGACTACAAAAAACGCTTTCTGAATAAGAAAGCTGATAACGCACAATCTTTTCTAATGTTTAATTGACAAAGAGCAAATGCAACTCCCACTATTTACAACCATCCAAAAGTCAAACATCTTACGCACAAAATCATCAGCTGTGATTCTTCCAATAATAAGAAATCCTCCCAAAAGCAGTACAAGACTACTTTTGAGCCGCAACAAAGAAAAGTTTTCTGCGGAGCAAGAAATACTACAATACATTATCCTTTTCATCTGCAAAAGCAAATTCAAAATCATCCGTTCCAATTAACAAATTGTGCCCCTGATAATTTCCCAACCAATCATCTCCCAATTACAACAACCATCACAAACTCAAAAGACATTTCCACAATAGCATCACATATTGTCAAGCAACTCACATGATAGACCTTCTAATCACTCATCCAACCCCAAAAAAAATGTATCTAATCAAAGACAAACAAACTTTCATGAATCAAATACCATCAAAACACCAAATTAAAAAAAGGGACCCAAAGTTTTATTTTTTAAATCCACCCACTTCCAAAATCATTCTTAAACCTGAAAATTTCATACTGAATTATTTTTAAACCCAAATTATGCTTCAGTTGCTATTATACTGAAGTCTTAAGTTGCTATCTTATGTACACATACCTATGTTTGGATCAAAGTTGTCATATTTGGCGTATCACTAGCTACATCTGTATCTAATATTGTATAGCTAGGTTCAGTTTTATAAATTAAAAAACCCTCAAAACAAATTTCCATCCAATACCTGATCACGAGAAGCATCCTCATCACGATCAGCAATCGACGAAGCCACCGATACGCCCGCCGATTTCACCGTCGACGCCACCGTCGAAGCGCCGCTCCTCAGGTAACTCGAGAAGCTCCTCAAGAATCCATTGTTGCTTCGCCCGGATCCTTGAGGCTTCTGCCCCTCACTCCTCATCCCAAAACCCTAGAGAAGCAATCAGTGACAACCGATCGAGACCAAACCCTAGATCACGGTATCTCACGATCATAACCCCAGGCTGTTTCTTTTGCCCTAACCTGAATCAAGTAGAAACAGCCCCCGATTCAAGACTCAAGTCTTCACATCCGCCATCTCCGATCGAAACGCGATTGATTCAAGTAAAAAAGCAACGAACTTTAACGAATTTAGGGCAGTTTTTAGGGTGTTTTTTTTGTTTCCAGAGAGAAAGAGGAGGAAAGAAAGGATTTTGTTCTGCTTGTGATCGGATAATTAATAAATGATGACTTTCTTCTATCTGATCACGTCTTTTCTTTCTTTTTTATTATCGTAGAGATTAATTTAATTTAATATAGATTTTCTCCTTTTCACTTTTTGCCCCAGGGTTCGTATTAGAAATATAAAAGGTTGATTAATGAGGATTTCATTGAAAAAAAAATTGGCTCGTCAGGATGAAGTCTAACCCGCTGAGATTTCTTTCTTTGTGTCCAAGTTTAGTATTTCGAATTTGAAATTTTTCTTAAGAGTATGTTTCAATATTCTAACAAAAGGATTTTTGCATTTAACTCCTTGCTTGGTTTCTTATTTGAGCATGGATAACTTATGCTTACTAGAATCAATCAAAGAGTATATATAAATAGTTTCCGTTTATGTAAATTTACATGTAATCGAATTTATTAAGAACTTTTATGAGCTAGGCGTGGCCAAAGAATTAGGGGTTGATAATCAATAAAACAGAGTTAAAAAAAAAGTAAAGAGAAAGAAAAAAAGAATTGTGAACAAGCAGTAGAAACAGAAAAAATATGGATTTTAAAGACACGAGTCTGTATATTGTAATTTTTTATTATTATAAGTTTTATTATTATGTTATCTATGAGACTTTTAATAGTAAAGAAAATCCACTATTGTCCGTCCATCTTCTATCTATTGAGAAAAACATATATGAATTTTGGGAAAAATGTGTCCAGGCCCCAAAAGCAGAATGTTCATGTGACCCGCCCCCTTGTATTTTGCCTCATGTGATTCAGCCCCAAAAAGTACCATTTAATATTTTAAGGCCCCTCCACGTCAGCAGTATAAAAAAAGAGATTGTATTTTGAAAAAAAACCCGAAATTACCCCTCCACTTATCTTCCCTAGACGTCTGGTCCACAAACTACATGGAAAGTCACGCCCATTAATGCAATCTGATGGAAAAAATAGAGGGAAATTTCCCGCCCTTTTTTGAACTCTATCATGAGCAATAACTCATGTTAGTTCTAAGTTATTTAATGTTAGTTCTAAGTTATTTAATATTAGTTCTAACTTATTTTATGTTAGTTCTAATTTAGTTCTAATTCATGTTAGTTCTAATGTTAGTTCTAAGTTATTTAATGTTTGTTCTAACTTATTTTATGTTGTTCTATGTTAGTTCTAATTTAGTTCTGACTTATTTAATGTTAGTTCTACTTCCAGCTAGTGTTGGTTCTAATATAAGCGTTAGTTCTAGTGGCTATATTAGTTCTAGTTGAGCTCCTGTTAGGACTGACACGATACCTGTTAGAATTGATACTGGAGAAGCTAGAACTAACACATCATCAAGTAGAAGTAATATGACATTTAGACCTAACAATTACGCTGGAACTAACGACTTAAATAAATTAGAACTAACACGATACCAGTTAGAACTAACACTAGAGAAGCTAGAACTAACACATCATTAAATAGAACTAACATGGCGTTTAGACCCAACAATTACGTAGAACTAATGACTTAAATAAATTACAACTAACACGATATCTGTTAGAACTAACACTAGAACTAACACATTAAATAAATTAAAACTAACACGAGCTGGTAAAAATTAGAACTAACCACATTAGTTCTAATTTATACAAAGTTAGTTCTATTTTATAACAAGTTAGTTCTAATTTTATACCATGTTAGTTCTAATTTTATGCCACGTTAGTTCTAATTTATGCCAAGTTAGTTCTAATTTATACAAGTTAGTTCTATTTTATAACAAGCTATCTCTAAATTATACAATGTTAATTCTATTCTGGAGCGTGTTAGTTCTAATCTATACCATGTTAGATCTATTCTGTAGCGTGTTAGTTCTAATCTGCACAGTGTTAGTTCTATTCTGTAGAGTGTTAGTTCTAATCTGCACAGTGTTAGTTCTATTCTGTAGAGTGTTAGTTCTAATCTGCACAGTGTTAGTTCTATTCTGTAGAGTGTTAGTTCTAATCTGCACAGTGTTAGTTCTATTCTGTAGAGTGTTAGTTCTAATCTGCACAGTGTTAGTTCTATTCTGTAGAGTGTTAGTTCTAATCTGCACAGTGTTAGTTCTATTCTGTAGAGTGTTAGTTCTAATCTGCACAGTGTTAGTTCTATTCTGTAGAGTGTTAGTTCTAATCTGCACAGTGTTAGTTCTATTCTGTAGAGTGTTAGTTCTAATCTGCACAGTGTTAGTTCTATTCTGTAGAGTGTTAGTTCTAATCTGCACAGTGTTAGTTCTATTCTGTAGAGTGTTAGTTCTAATCTGCACAGTGTTAGTTCTATTCTGTAGAGTGTTAGTTCTAATCTGCACAGTGTTAGTTCTATTCTGTAGAGTGTTAGTTCTAATCTGCACAGTGTTAGTTCTATTCTGTAGAGTGTTAGTTCTAATCTGCACAGTGTTAGTTCTATTCTGTAGAGTGTTAGTTCTAATCTGCACAGTGTTAGTTCTAATCTGTAGAGTGTTAGTTCTATTCTGCACAGTGTTAGTTCCGTTCTGTAGAGTGTTAGTTCTAATCTGCACAGTGTTAGTTCTATTCTGTAGAGTGTTAGTTCTAATCTGCACAGTGTTAGTTCTAATCTGTAGAGTGTTAGTTCTATTCTGCACAGTATTAGTTCTAACTCTAGTTATTTATGCCATTTTTTAAACTCTATCAATAGCTAACTCATGTTAGTTCTAACTTATTTCATGTTAGTTCTAACTTATTTTCATGTTAGTTCTAACTTATTTTATGTTAGTTCTAATGGCAAGTAAGAGCTAACTTTAAGTGGAACTAACATTAACACTTTGGCTACTTGGTCTAGTGGTAAAGCTTGGGAATTTGGAGAGGAGGTTAGGAGTTCAAGCCCATGCAACTACAATATATATTTAAAGGTCTTTGATTGGGCCTTGGGCCTTGGGGCTCTTGGGCTCTTTGTTAGTTCTAGCCATTAGAACTAACATTAAAGAGCCCTTTTGTTAGTTCTAGCCATTAGAACTAACATTCCAGCCCTTACAACTAACATAACAGCCCTTAGAACTAAATTTGGGCTCTTTGTTAGTTCTAGCCATTAGAACTAACATTTCAGCCCTTAGAACTAACATAACAGCCCTTAGAACTAACATTTATAGTTCTAATTTTCCTTGACCCCCCTTTCAAATTCACAGGTTCTTAGATTCTTTAGTCGACTTTTAATCACATTATCTTCAATTTTTAGCTAAATGTCGATATGTCTGAAGATTCAATGTGAGCTTTTGAATTTCTGCTGTTAATCTCTTATACAAAACTCTGTCAATCACCAAATCACACAAGAAAAAGGCATTAAAGAAAAACCCAAACTGCTGTTCAAGAATCCAAGGAGATCTCATTTCAATTAAATGAAAGAGAAAAACTACAAAAAAATATCGATTCCCTTCATAAATTACAAGAAAACAAGAGCACTATCTTGATTAAGACATTGATTTGGGTAAAGATATTCCGTAACCTAGAAAGGGGAGAACAACGATGCATCAGACCAAAGCCCCAGGCTCCGTCAGCTCGCGGGTCCCCGGACCATGTTCCGTGTTTGTTGTTGAACCCGCGTTCACGAGCTGTTTCTAAGATGACTCCCCGACCTCCGACTCCATGACCACCGTCCTCGCCTTCGCCTTCCACGAGCTCCTCAGTCTGATCATTTTCAGCGGCCATGACGAAAGTGAGAGAGAAGGAGAAGCTGAGAGATAGAGTGGAGAGAGAGAGAGAGAGAGAGAGAGAGAGAGAGAGAGAGAGAGAGAGATGGGATGGGGTTAAAAGGATGGACGCAGTTACCAAGCTCAATCAAATCAAAGGGTAAATTTGTAACTTTTGTTGGGTTTTTCTCAGGATCTGGTACTTTGGGGCCTTAACACAAATACAATGTGTATTTGGGGCTGAATCACATGGGGCAAAATATAAGGGGGCGGGTCACATGAACATTCTGCTTTTGGGGCCTGGACACATTTTTCCCATGAATTTTTCTAAAGTTTCTCTTTACAAATAAATGAATAAATAATAATGCAAAGAGTCATGTGCAAAATCAAAAATATCCTATTTGAAGCAACTAGTGATGAAGAAGTAGAAGTAACCTCCTCCTCGTAGTTTCGTTTTGTCCTCACGCGCATATAAAGGACCACAAAAACCTTGGATCACAAGAAATGAGTAATGATAGCCGTACATTTTTTGTGATTGATTTTGATGTTGTTTCTTGCGTTACCAACATTTTCAGAGACTTGTTTGTTACGAATTTTGCCGAATATTAAGGTTAACATGATTTCTAACAAAGATAGCATGTCGGCTCGCTAGTTTCGGGTTAATTAAACTGGTTAAGCATCAAACATACAGTATAAGAAAATTATTGCAAGTTATCACTAATTATGTCGTATCTTAAGGGGAAAAAAAGAGGTGGGTTAGGGGGGATGATAGAAGGAATATAAAGTATACGTAGATAAGGTTATCTTAATCATGACATTCAGAACACGTTACATGTTAAACACGTACATGATAACTTTTCCTAATTATCGTCAAGCATGATGTTTGGTGAAAACCTCACGTTGAAGTTTTGTGGAATCGGTTTGTACGAACACTCAAATTTAACAGTAGTTTTGCGAAATCTACTCTATAATTAAAAGTAGCAACATAAAATCACTTCGATAACCCTCATATAACGTAGTAAGTGGGCTGCCTTTGGTTTGCTGGCCTAACCTGTTGAAATATTTAATGAAAAAGAATATTCTTGTAATTCACCGAAAACACAATATCTAGTAGAGTATTTCAGCAGCCTTCGTTGAAGAAAAATATTAGACACAAAACCTACTGTTACACCTAAATAATACTTCTATTCACAAAACCTACACTTGTAAAAAAAATGATCAACTCTGATCACACTGACCCTGCGCAAGTGAGGACGTACATTTCGGCACCAAAATCATATTCTGCTGCTCAAAATTCACCAAATTAAATAAACTTCCCATCGCTCACCGGTAAAATTGCCAAACACAGAAGATTTCCATCTTCGAAACTCCGGTGAAATGGTCACCGCAAGGAGTTCTCATACCAGCGCGCACCATCAGAGTGAAAAACTAGTTCAGGAACTTTCACAACTGAGTTCTGATGGTCGCTAGGCGAAGAGAGAAACACAGATCAAACTCTGTCTCCGACGAGTCAGCAACCGATGAATTCACCCGTGCTTCGAACTCTTGCTTGGATACTTGATAACCCTCTCATTAGTTAAATAAAACTGTCTGTTTTTGGAAGCTTAGACCCGACACTGACCCCTTTCAGTGATAAGTAATAGGAAACGGGATAATCTGAATTATTAACGGGAGGAGTGGACTGGACTGAGCCAGATAAAACGGCCGATGAGACTAATTAATAAAAGAGGACTTGATATTTATTCACCATAAGAAGTTTTAAGCAATGAGAGGACTTCGTTTTTTTAGCCTAATTTTGAGTTTGATATTGACGGATAGATCTTTCTGAAACTAAACTGTACGCCGTTGTCATCCTCCGAAACTCCTCTCCACTGGCCGGTACACTGTTCCAGATGTAAGTTTGTACGTAGTGCAGATGAAGCGGAGGATGAGGAAGGAGCGAGCAGAGTACGACGAAACATAAGGTCTATCTACCACAAATATTTGATAGCGCTAAATTCTTAAGGATCTACATGTTAAGAAAAATGCCTTAGAGCATCTCCAACAGCTTCCCCATCTTCTTGAAATACTCAATTTTGGGGAATATAGAGCTTTTTTTTGGTCCAACAGATTCCTCATCCCATTCCCCAAAATAGGGAAGGAAGAGAAAAAAATAGGGAGCCTTCCCCAAATCTGCAGCATTCTTCAAATTTTTGGGGAGAGCTTTATTATTGTAATAAATGCGATTTTTCAAAATGGGGAAGCTGTTGGAGTTGGAGCAAAAATAATTTGGAGAATATGACTTTTGTTTCTCTATTTTGGAGAAAATTTTGGGGAAGCTGTTGGAGATGCTCTTAAGGATCCAAAAAATGGGACCAATGGAGGGAACATGTGAGGTGTCCCCTCCCTATTGCATAATGAGCTATATATGTTAAATTAATCCTCGTTAATTAGCCATAAACAGTATGAATAGGTTGGCTTGTGATCGGACCACGTACACACGGTTAAACATAGAAAATGGGTGGAGACGAGTCAAGGATGGGGGCAATATGAGTGGGAAAACCCATCAGTCTCCATCTCTTTAGCCCCACATCAATGTATGATGGTCCCTATTATCATTACGAACAAAGCCCATTCATACTGTTGGGCCCCTGTTATTACATTATGGTCCAATCTAAATAGTACTTCTCAAGCTCGGTACACCATTAGCCCTCATGCATACACTCTTTATTTCTCATCAAACTTTATTCGTAAATCACAGCAAGAGAAACAACCTATGGTTCTAAAAGTAATCAAACCTGATCACATTGAGCCTGCACAAATGACAACTTTTCAGCAAACAACCTATGGTTCTAAAAGTAATCAAACCTGATCACATTGAGCCTGCACAAATGACAACTTTTCAGCACCAACATCATACAGTATGTGCACATCAAACCTGATCACATTGAGCCTGCACAAATGACAACTTTTCAGCACCAACATCATACAGTATGTGCACGTTCTGCTGCTGAAAGTTCCCCAAAGTAGACATTCCATCCGTCGGTAAAATAGCCAGACATTTGAGGTTCAACTTCGAAACCTCGACGAAATAATTAGTTCCGGGAATTTTCATATCAGCTCCCTCAAAGTGAAATACCAGATCTGGGACATTCACAACCGCATTCTGATCACTAGGCGAAGTGAAGCAGAGATCAAACTCTGTCGACGAGGAATCAGCTACAGACAAATTCACCTGCGCTTCTAATTCTTGCTTCAATACTTGATAACCTTCGCTATTTAAGTGCGTTACACCCGTCCCCGAGTCAATAATAAAACCGCCGCTACCATCAGAATCCAATTCGAAAACTGAGCTACCGATCGCTAGAGGTTGTGACCCGACGCTAATCCCTTTTAGTGATAAGTAATAAAGAACAGCTTGATTCGGATTAGTAACTAGTGGAGTAGATTGGACTGAACCAGATAGAATGGCCGATGAGCCTAACAAAAGGGGGCTTGACTTTGTTTCACCGTAGGAAGTTAAGCAATAAGAGAATTTCGTCGCGCCAAGCTGCGACACTAACGACAGCTTGCCCCTTGCTAATCCCGCTATCCCCGCGGCGTTGGGTGGTAACGGGCCTATGGAGTACGTGTTGCAACCGAACCCGATAGCCGGTACTGATACCGGGTTATTGGATCCGAACGTGAATGTTTCGGTAGAGAGCACACCCAGAATAATTGTTCCGCCACCATAGGCGTATGTGTAGTCACAGTTCGGTGCACAAGTTGGTTGATCAGGGAGAGATTGACAAAGGGGGTTTGAGCAGGGGAGTTTTGCGAAGGTTGTAGATTTCGAGGGGTTAAACGTAGCTTTGCAATCGGTCCAGATTAGGTTGCTGCCGGTGTCCATGAGCCAAGTTAAGGGAACTGATGGGGATCCGATCGCGAAATCCATTGAATAGGATGGTCTCGAATATTGCAATGGAGTTTGGATTTGGGTTTGGGTTGACGTTAGGGTCGTAAGTTTGTGTTTGGTTCGACGAATGGCTCGTTCGAGGATTTCGGACTTTGTCAGGTTGGGCTCGGAGTCGATATGGGTGAGACCGATACGAATACCCAAGACGTTCGGGTTCATCAGGACTAAAATGAGAGAAATCAGGAGAGTTGGCACTATTTGGGCCATTTTTTTTTTCGCCGCTGTTATTTTTTGTGTAGATCGAAGAGATGATTAAAGATAGGCAATGAGTATGTACATTTATAGTGCAGGAGGACTAAATTTGCATGGAGAAGACCAGGACTAGATTTGCATGGAGAAGACCTGTATGCATCACGGGAGACTTTGAACAAAGTTTAGTCGTCGTGGAATAATCCTTTGATTTGATTTAAGAAGTAACGTTTCATAATATTGACAAATGGCCGTAAAGCTCAATCAATCAAGAGAGTATATTTTTCTCTACTGCAGGAATTAATATTTTTGGAGAAAAAGGTTTCTCAAGTTAAAGCATCTAGTGAACCTGGGTGCGGTCATTTTTCAGCAGCCGTCTGTGATATGTGACATCAGTATTTATGTGCGTGAGCAAATGACTTCATTTGTCAATAATTATGAGAATTTAGAGGATGAAAGGTCCTTGCTTTGTGAGCAAGCCATGACTCGGTTCTCTATTTGTTAGGACTTGGGAATGGATTCTAGTCATCATTTTACCAAGTATTGACGAGTTTGTCATACTGCAGAATTGGAAATTAAAATTAAATCCCATAATCGTTGCATTATGACTAGAGTACTGTGAGCAGAACCCTTTCCTGCAATTTCCGTTCTATCTTCAACACCAATAGCTTTATTAGTAGGTTATAAATGAGCATCCCAACCGAATAAAAGAATAATTCATTCGAAAGTTTATGCAGTCAAACTCTTAAGATGCATTTACAACAAGGCTAAGCTAGTATGCAGGTATAATTAGACTGAAGGCTTCTCCAATGACAAAGTACAAGATTAGGCTACCAAAAATTGCAAGTTTTGGGGTACAATTACCAATGATCCACACAAGAACAAGATCCTTGTGCAAAAATGGCGAAATCTGTTAGTATCCCTAACGATAAATTTCCTTGAAACAACCTTGGATATTAGCTATTGTGATTGCACTATGACAATCCCCACAAACTCTCAGGTTCTTTGCAATCCTTACGGGCACATTTGGAGGAGCTTTCAACAAACCAAAAGCAATGGCTTGCCTCTCACTATGACTGCATAGCAATTTTTTTTTTTTCTTATCGTCATCCTCTATATCAAGCAACACAAAATTAGCAGAAGGAACGAGACCTGCCTTAAACTATAAGTTGATCTAATCTTGCCAACATCTCATAAATCTCGCTAGTCTCCAAATGTGACTTACTCATGAGCACCAGAATATATAAACCTCTTCTTTAATCTCAATCCAACTATATCCTGTCCTGTCAAGAAGAAGATGGGAGAAAATATCTTCTATTGTACTAACAATATTGTAAGACACAATTATTTACAGGTGATAAATACACATAATAAGTGAAAAATAGAGGAGCTGTCCTTCAGATATACAAGAGAATATTCTGGGTCCAACATCTTTTGACAATCCTCTGATGACCAACAACTACTTTCTTATCCTTCCTCCATCATCCCATCTCCCTCCTGAGGCATAAATGTTAGATAAAATCACATGATTTGCTGCATTTTCAGGTTCTAGCTAAAAAAAAAAAACCCTCGTCGGCCAATCTCTCATCAGGCTCTATGTCACCATTAACTTGGAAATGGTTTGTTAGCCCTATGACCAAATTAACCCCCTTTGGAGGGTTAAAGAGGGCTAAACCCCCTTAACCCTTATCGAATGGGGCCTCAAGTTTCATGTTAGTTTTGTGAAGTTTGCCCTAAAAAGGTAAACTAAAAACACAAAATCACTTCAATATTCTCGTATAATATATCACACAGGCTAGTTTTGGTATATTTTGCCAGCCAACTCCCGTAGAATCTAACACACATTTACCAGCCTAACTTGTAGAATTGCCTTAGGTTTGTTCAACAGATTTTATGCAGAATTTCGTTATATAAAGAATATCTGCCTACCTATAACTTTAATAAAATATATTTAATGCACAGAAAATTTCTGTAATTCACCAAAAAATATGATGCTGATAAAGTATCTTAGCAGACTTCTTGAAGAGAAATAGCACACAATATATATTTCCCAAAGGAAAAGACTGTTACATATAAATAATACATCTCAAGCTCAATACATCATAACACTCGTACACTCTTTATTTCTCCCCATACTTTATTCTTATAAATCACAGCAAAAGCAACAACCTATGGTTCTAAAAGTAATCAAACCTGATCACATTGAGCCTGCACAAATGACAACTTTTCAGCACCAACATCATACAGTATGTGCATGTTCTGCTGCTGAAAGTTCCCCAAAGTAGAGATTCCATCCGTCGGTAAAATAGCCAAACACAAAAGATTCGTATTCGAAACCCCAGTAAAATAATTAGTCCCAGGAATTTGCATATCAGCACCCTCAAAGTGAAAAACTAGTTCAGGAACAATCACAGCCGCATTTTGATCGCTAGGCAAAGAGAAACACAGATCAAACAATGTCGCGGATGAGTCAGCAACCGATAAATTCACCTGTGCTTCAAACTCTTGCTTCATTACTTGATAACCTTTGTTATTTAAATACGTTACAGTTGTGCCCGAGTCAATAACAAAACCGCCGTTACCATCAGAATCCAACGCGAAAACTGAACTATCGATTGCTAATCAAACCTGATCACATTGAGCCTGCACAAATGACAACTTTTCAGCACCAACATCATACAGTATGTGCATGTTCTGCTGCTGAAAGTTCCCCAAAGTAGAGATTCCATCCGTCGGTAAAATAGCCAAACACAAAAGATTCGTATTCGAAACCCCAGTAAAATAATTAGTCCCAGGAATTTGCATATCAGCACCCTCAAAGTGAAAAACTAGTTCAGGAACAATCACAGCCGCATTTTGATCGCTAGGCAAAGAGAAACACAGATCAAACAATGTCGCGGATGAGTCAGCAACCGATAAATTCACCTGTGCTTCAAACTCTTGCTTCATTACTTGATAACCTTTGTTATTTAAATACGTTACAGTTGTGCCCGAGTCAATAACAAAACCGCCGTTACCATCAGAATCCAACGCGAAAACTGAACTATCGATTGCTAGAAGTTTAGACCCGACGCTGATCCCTTTTAGTGATAAATAATAGAGAACAGGTCGATTTGGATTAGTAACAAATGGAGTAGATTGGACTGAGCCAGATAAAATGGCTGATGAACCTAATAAAAGAGGACTTGATTTTGATTCACCATAAGAAGTTAAGCAATATGAGAATTTCGTTGCGCCAAGTTGTGACACTAACGACAACTTGCCTCTTGCTAATCCTGCTAACCCCGCAGCGTTGGGTAACAGGCCTCGGGAGCGCATGTTGCACCCGAACCCGATACCCGGTACTGATACTGGGCTATTGGACCCGAATGCGAATGTTTCGCTAGCAAGCACACCTTGGACAGTTAAGTTGTCAACATAAGAGTATGTATAGTCGCAGTCTGGCGCACAAGTTGGTCGAAAAGGAAGAGATTGACAAAGGGGATTTGTGCAGGGTAGTTTTGTGAAAGTTGAAGAATTCGAGGGGTTAAATGAAGTTTTGCAATCTGTCCAGATTAGGTTGCTGCCGGTGTCCATGAGCCAAGTTAAGGGAACTGATGGGGATCCAATTGAGAAATCCATTGAATAGGAATTGCTGGAAAACATCAATGGGGTTTGGATTTGGGTTTCGGTTGATGCTAGGCTCATAATTTTGTGTTTGGTGCGACGAATGGCTCGTTCGAGGATCTCGGATTTGGTCAGGTTGAGCTCGGAGTCAATGTGGGTGAGATTGATTCGGAGACAAGCTACATTTGAGATCATTTGGACTAAAATAAGAGAAATCACGAGAGTTGGTAGTATTTTGGCCATCCTTTTTTTTTTGGTTATTTTGCTGCTGAAGGCCAGCAATGAGCGTGCATATTTATAGTGCTGGAGGACTAAATTTCCAGGGAGAACACCCCTACTAAATTTCCACAGAGAAGACCAGTATGTATCATGGCAGACTTTGAAAAAATCAAAGGTTAATTATGGAATAATCCTGTTTTATATGATTAACTGTTGGAAAGTTCTAGAAAGTAATTTTTTTTCTTCATTTAAAATTAATATTTTGGAGAAAGAGTTTCAGTCAAGCAACTAGCTGGTGAACCGGGATCAGTAATTCTTCCAGATTGTCGGCTGATTTTGCATTTTCCCAGCAATTAATATGCACAAGGAAATGACTTCAATTGTCAATTAGGAAGGAGACTAATAACTTCCAGACGTAATAATTGAGAACTTAGAGGATGAAGAAGTCTTTTGCTTAGCATGCTTTGGGAGCATCCCACTGAATAAGTGGATAATACATTCAAAAGTTTATGCATCCAGACATTCACTTCCAATAAATTCAACAAAATAAACTAAACAACCGATGCTATCAATCTATGGCTCAAACAACAGGCTATCCAAAAAAAACTAGAATATCCAAACAAAAAAAAATTTAAGTTTTGGCTGTAATCACCAATAATCCCCACAAGAACAAGATCCTTGTGAAAAAAGATGAAATCTATTAGTATCTCTAATGATAAATTTCCTTGAAACAACTTTAGATATTAGCTTGATTGCATTATTGCACCCCACAAACTCTCACGCCTCGTTTGGTACGCGGGAATGAGGTGGAATGAAATGGTCATTCTAACTTTTCATTCCCCGATACCAAACGTACATATTTTTTAAAAGATGGAATGACCATTCCCACTTTTTATGGGAATGAGCATTCCAAGTGAATTGATAAGGAATGATCATTACCATTCAAGTGAGAATCAAATTAGTTACGTAATTTTCAATTATACCCATATTGATAATTTATCAAATGAGTTAATTTTGATATCTAGAACTGTGAATTGTGGATATCATTCTTTATATTATTTTTGGACCTATGAAAGATGTGAAACTCTTTTATTTATTTTTCTTTAATTTTTTTTAAGACTAATAAATAGTGAGTATTGTTTAAAAAATATAAACGGAACATACACCTGAGAGATAACATATGTATTAGTATAAAACATAGCTAGATTAATATAACATATGCATAAATAAAATTGTTTAGTTATAATCATTAATATTTATTTTTATCTTATTAAAAATCTATGTTGTTGTAAGGGCATTATTATAAAATAAGATTTCATTCTCACTTGTGAACTAGTGATACCAAACATGGGAATGAGAATGCGATTTTCATTCTAGCTTCATTCTATAAACACACCCAAACAACGTAATGGGAATGACCATTCCATTCCCACATACATTCTATTTCATTCCTTCTTCCATTTCATACTCATTTAAGTCCATTCTCACGTACCAAACGAGGCGTCAGGTTCTTTGCACTTCTTATGCGCACATTTGAAGGAGCTTTCAACAAACCAAACGCAATGGCTAGCCTCCCACTATGACTGCATAGCAATTTTTTCTTATCATCTTCCTGCATATCAAGCAACACAAAATTAGGAGGAGGAACACGACCTGCCTTAACTATAAGTTCATCTAATCTTGCCAACATCTCATATATCTCATTAATCTCCAAATGTGACTTATCATGAGCACCAAATATATAAACTTAATCTCAAACCAACCATATCCAACATCTTTTGACAATCCTTTGACAACCATCAACTTCCTTATCCTTCCTGCATAATCCCATCTCCCTGCTGAGGCATAAATGTTTGATAAAATCACATAATTTGCTGCGTTTTCGGGTTCTAGCTCGAAAAGCTTGTAGGCTGATCTCTCACCAAGCTCTACATTACCATGAACTTGGCAAGCTCCAAGCAATGCTCCATAAACACTACCAGTTGGCTTTACCCTCATTTTCTCTATAAATCTCAGCTTCATCAAGTCTTCCCCCTCTCCCAAGCATATCAACTACACAAGAATAGTGTTCAATATGAGGCTCAATACCAAATTTCTCTGACATACTATCGAAAATCCCCATCCCTTCACTAACAGGTCCACCATGACTACAAGCTGAAAGGATCACAGCCAAAGTGATAAATGGGCTTCAATCCTTGATCTTGTATTTTTCGAAACAATTCTAATGCAAGGTCGAAGTTCCCATTCATAGAGAATCCTTCAATCATAGAAGTCCCACGAACGACATTTCCTCTCCCCAAGTTATTAAAAATCTTAAAAGTGCCTTCGTAATCTCCGCATCTAGAGTACATCGTCACTAGTGAGGAACCAACTATCAAATTCAAAATGAACCCGTTTCGAATGACATAACCATGAATAGCTTGGCCTTTCCTGAAACTAGAAAAGAAGCCACAAGCAGGCAATAACAAAAAATAGTAACCTCATTGGATTTAATACCATCTTCAACTTGCATTCTGTAGAACAATGCAAACGACTAAGAGAACTTCTCTAATGAGGAAAACGCCCGAATCATAGAAGACCAAGAAACAACATTTCTAGTAGGCATTCTATCGAACGCTTTCCTTGTATTGTCAATAACCCCAACAGACCCATAATCATTAACAAGCGATTATCAACGGATAAATGATTTCTAATCCCACACTTAAACCAATAATGAATGCAACTGATCAGTTAATTTGAGAAAACCCAATTCAGCTGAAGCTTTCAATAACACCGACAACATGTAACCATCTGGTTCATCTCCATGTTCAAGCATTTTAGAGAAAATGTCAACTTTCACTTGGGTTTCCATTTCTAGTGTACCCACCAATCAATTAAGTCCAGATGAATGTATCCAAGTTCCTCTTTGGAATTCTATCAATCAGTTCTCGAGCATTATCGATTCGGCCACAAACAGAGTAGAGTTTGATGAGTTTTGGAAGCAAGTCTCTGATTTTTTTCAAACCCAGCTTGTTTAATTTGGCAATGAAGCTCTTTTCCTTGTGAGAGAGAGAGCAAGAATCGATGCAGGTTTGGGGAAGAGAGCTGAATTCTGAGGAGGTTTATGGACTTGAGCTTGGTCTTGGGTAATTTAAGAGAAATGGGTTTTGGGTTATTTTGAGAGGATGAGGTTTATGGACTTGAGCTTGGTCTTGGGTAATTTAAGAGAAATGGGTTTTGGGTTATTTTGAGAGGATATTGAAAAGGAAAGAGAAACTATAAGTGAGTAATTTAAGAGAAATGGGTTTTGGGTTATTTTGAGAGGATATTGAAAAGGAAAGAGAAACTATAAGTGGGTTGCTTGTTTGAGAGAATGCCATTGTTTCAATTTGTTAGTTTTGAGAAAGTAAATAGTTATCCATAGAATGCAGGGTTATTTTCATATACCCCCCTTACATCATGGGTATTTTCAAAAATGCCCTCCAAATCTCAATATTTGTAAAAGTACTCCTTTAATCATCGATTTAGGAAAAAATTACCTCAAAGCAATTGATCATCAACTTTGATAACTTATACTCACTATGTAAAAATTATCAATAGAATAGTCAAAGTTCTAGCACCAAGTTTATAATTTGTTAACTTTAGGGATATTTTTTTACAAAGGTGGTGATCTGAGGGGTAATTTTGTAAATACTAAGATGTGGTGAGTATTTTTGAAAATACCCATTATTTAAGAGGTAATGAAATTGGATTTTTCATGTACACTCCTCTCATTAATACTTTAATTTCAAATATGGGGGGGAAAATGTAACTATGGAAAGTATAAGAAAAATATGAAAACATGAGAATAATATAGCCTACCATGTCTCATGATCATTAGTAACTATAAGCCAATACACCATATATAGAAGGCATTCAAAGCCAGAAATTACAATTTATGCTAGTAAGGAAATGTAATTGATTCCAAACCAATGAAAATGACATCATGATATTTTTAGTATCACATGAATGCCATGTGTATTAGGTCATCATGTACCAATCAGATTGCTGATACTTAAGGACATATTAGTAAAAAACCTGAAAGAGCAAAGTCGAGACACTCAATATGATATAACAATCATATTGTCTTCAAGATAAAGTAATGCAAACATTAATTTGAACTCAAAAGTTTAGGACTACAAAGTCAAATATCTTGAGAAAAACATAACAAAAGAAGTGTGAAAAAAGGAACCATAAGTACACATCCTGATGGGCTATTCTTCAAAACATATGACCAAAACACATTATGTACAACTCTTAGAAACTAGATATCTTCAAACTCCTGTTTGGATGATTTCGGATACCCTTCATACTCCAACTTCACTCCCAAATTTGCCGAAATAAGTCTGAATTTCAACCTGATGGCATTCATCATCTCCTGAATCCCCTCGTTCTCTGGTTCAAGAAGTGGATACTTGTTCAACAGTTCGCTCAATTGCTCGATGGTCTTCTGGATTCTTGACGAGAATGCTCCCGAGTCAACCCGAACCACTGATTTCCAGATATCAACACATCCACGGTAGAATCCTAGTTCTTCTCCTATTTCGAAGCCTACTTTTAGACCCACATCTCTTCCCTCTTCCTCTCCTGAGAGCAAACCATTGTTATAACCATCATTATAGCCTTCATTGTACTGGGTCTCTTCCCTCTTCCTCTCCTGAGAGCAAACCATTGTTATAACCATCATTATAGCCTTCATTGTACTGGGTTTCATTTAAAAGAACTGAAGATTCAAGAAAATCAGGATTTGGCTCCATCTTTTTATTATCAGCAAACTTTCGCGGTCTCAAGAAAAACCTGTATAAAGAGGGACCTCTATGTTTAGCTAATTTCTAAAGTAGAATAATAGAGACAAGCTCTTGAATCTAAAGGTTTTAGGATAAGTAGAACAAAAACTGAATATATGGAATGCACTTTTAGTAAAACTAGGAAAGGAAGAGAGCCTATGGTACATATTGATGGCAAAAAAATATCTAAAACTAATCATTTTTGCTATTTAGGATCAATCATTAGGCATGATGGTGAGTTAGATGATGTTGTGCATCGAATCAAATCGGGATGGTTGAAATGGAAGAGTGCTTCGGGAGTCTTATGTGATCATAAAATACCAATAAAATTTAAGTTAATTCTATATGATGGTTATAAGACCAACTATGCTTTATGGTTCAAAATGTTGGGCAATTAAAAAACATGTTCAAAAAAATGTGTAGTAGAAATGAGAATGTTGCGATGGTTTTGTGGGTATACATTAAAAGATATGATAAGAAATGAGTGCATCCATAGTAAATTAGAGATTGTTCATATTGAGGATAATATGAGAGAGAATAGATTAAGATGGTTTGAGCATGTACAATAGAGACCCCTTAGTGCACCAATTAGGAAAAACGATAATATTAGAGTTAATGGGGCTAGGAGATCTAGAAGTAGACCTAGAATGACTTGGTTAGAATCAATTAAGAATAATATGATTAAGACTAACTTAACGAAGGAGATGACCCATAACAGAATGAAATGAAAAAAATAAGATTAATGTAGCCGACCCTAAACATTTGGGATAAAGACTTGGTCATTGTAGTATTAATTGTTGTATAATGATGTGTATTTGAATATGTTTTAGTTCTGGTTTTGTTTTATTTATTATTTAACTTTTTTTAGTCTAAATATATTCTTTGTTACGCAACCAGTTTCTTTTTTTTATTTTCAACCTCAGACCTATCTGCCTGCTATAAATGCTTGCTATGCGCTAACCTACCCCTAAAACGATTTGACTTGCTGACCCCGCGACTTCATTGACTTCATGGACCATGCTTTGACTTCAATCACTGACTTATCTAAATCAAAGCATATAGTTGTGGTGAACGAGACGACCGTCCCTACTCAAACTGAAAAACGTTGATTGACCGTTTCCATCGTAACCCAGTTCCTTTGTTTGCTTGTGTACGTGTTGCCTATTCAAAATACGAGGTGAAAGAGAGACGAGTACGAGGTTCATAACTTCCAGACAAGGGGATTCATATAGGCCAATATGCCTATTGCAATTATGACGATTGCAATTGAAGCTCCCGCTGGTGTATGTGGTCAAGCTTAAGAGAGAAGTTCCTCTTTTCAGAAGAGTCGCATTTTCAGAAAGAATTCCTCGGATTCCTACACGACTTGCTTGCAGGCAAAAATCTGCTTTTTATTGTGCCACTAGGCTAGTCGAAATTGAATTAGTCAATGAGCTAAGTTATGTCCTTGCAATGCGCTAAGTAATGTCCCTGCCTACCCACTGATGATCCCACTTCTCCTCTTGGTTCAGAAAATTCCCTTCCTTCTGTTTTCCTACAACTGGGTCTATAGCTTTAATAATCATGTCTGTAATTAGGAACATCAAAGATTATTTTTTTACATTGTAATGTGTTTGTTAAAACTATAGATAATGGAGTTTAATTTGGAGTTTTGAACAAAAGAGATAAAGGAAGAGGAGTTGAAGAGGGATATGGGATGGGAATTCTAATCAATATGTGAATGGAACCAAATCGTAGATGAAGGGGAAAAAAGGATGGAGATGATCGTCTATGAAGCACAGATTCGCCCCCAGAGGCCACGAATCCGTGTCTGACCCACATCAGACACGGATTCGTGCACGACACGTGCACGACACGTGTCGAACACGGTCAATCTGTGTCCGACACGGATCAACGGTCCAACTAGGGGGGACACGGTCAAGGGGACACGGCTTGGATTCGCCGAACAAAAAGAAAAAAAAAATCGCTGAAAGACAACCCATAACCGAAACCCAAACCCAAAACTAAACCCTAATATTTTCACTCACCTGAGTCGCGATGCCGCCATCGATCTCTTCTTCTCTCAGATCTCGTCGCTCGTCCTCGTCCATCTATCTCGTCTTCTCTCAGATCCTGTTGCTCGTCCTCGTCCATCGATCTCGTCTTCTCTCAGATCCCGTCGCTCGTCCTCGTTGATCTTGGCTCCACTCGTCGCTGCTAGGTCAGATCTCTAACTCGTTGATCTCGTCTTCTCTCTCTCTCTCTCTGAGTCTCTCGATCTCTTCGTCTCTCTCAAACTCTGAGTCTCTCTCCGATTCTCTTTCTCTCTCTCTCTCTCAATATCTCCATCTCTCAATCTCTCCGTCTTTGTCAAACTGAGTCTCTCTCTCAATCTCTTAAGTCTCTCTCTCTTCACTTATTTTTTTTAAAGACTATTACCTTTTTTGTTCATGCAGCTTTGTGCTACTGCTGAGCAACTGAGCAAGTCACTTCATTTGGTATTTTGTTATTTTTCAATTTTAGTTTCAATTTCTTAACATATAAATATTTTTTCAATTTCAATTTCAGTTTTTAACACAAATGAATTATTAACATTACACAAATGAATTATGAATATACATATGAAGATTTTCTAATTAGAATATGAAGATTTTCTAATTAGAAAATAGGAATACAATATGAATATACATATTTAATGAATGAATTTTATGGATATTTATTTTGGTAGCTGTGTTGGAAAATTTGATTGATCATTCATCCTTGCTCGTTGCTACTTAACTCTGAAGTATAATCTGTAAAAAGAAAAACAAGTCAGTGAGCAACAACTTATTAATTAGTATAATTAGAAAAAGAGCTTAAAATAGTAATTAGCATGCTAACTAATAAATTATGAACATGTAAATATTTAATTGTTAAATCACTTAATTCTTACTTAAAAAACATATTTCATATTTTAAATGAAAATACATATTTCTTGCATTGTAATTTGTGAAAACTTATAAACTTCTCTATGTTATGCATGCTAATAGCTCATATTATTATCATAAATCTGATGGAGAAAGCTACTCATTTATACTAAATCGAGATTTTCGTATTATGTTCCATATATGTTATGGTTTAATATTTAATTAGTATTTGTCACTTGTTGTTTATAGCAATGGAAGCAGAATGTAGTTCTGGTGCATAGTCTGTTCAAGATGATCACACTCCTTTGTGGAAGTATGTCACGAAGTTGGAGAAGATGAGTAAATTAGGGGGGAATTGGTAGTCGATGTGTAGTTACTGTCATGAAGTATTTACATCCTCCTACTCAAGGGTCAAAGCTCATTTAATGCGGATTAGTGAGCAAAGAATTAAAATGTGCAGAGGTTATAAGCCGCGCAATATGAGAGACATGCAAACTGATATGGATCAAACAGAAACAAGGCTGAGGACTTCTATGCCTAGGACAGTGACGATGTCAGGTTCTTCAACTTCAAGTGCAGCATCAGGAAGTCAAAGCATGCATTCTCGTCAAAGTGAGCCAAAGAGGAGGGGAGCCACCACCGTTGAACATGCCTTCAATACAGGAGCAATAGATGAAATGGATTCAATCATTGCAAGGATGTTCTATACCGGTGGGCTGTCATTTAATTTGACAAGAAATCCATATTTCTCCAGAGCTTTCACATATGCCGTAAGCAATCCAATTGCCGGTTACAAGCCTCCGGGTTATAATTCTTTGAAGATCACTCTTTTGCAACGTGAGAAGGCTCACGTAGAGAGGTTGTTGGAGCTCATCAGGGGCACATGGAAGCAGAAGGGGGTCTCTATTTACTCTATTTACAATGATGGCTGGGCAGATGCACAGAGGAGGCCACTGATAAATTTCATTGCGGTCTCAGAAAACGGACCAATGTTCTTGCACTGCGTGAATGCCGAAGAAGAATAGATATTTCATTGCAGAGAAGCTTGAAGATTGCATTAGAGAGGTGGGGCCTCAAAATGTGATCCAAATCATTACTGATAACGCTTCGGCATGCAAGACCGTAGGGGCAGTTGTGGAGGGTAAATTTCCACACATCTTCTGGACTCCATGTGTTGTTCACACCCTTAATCTAGACCTTAAGAATATTTGTGCTGCGAAGAATACAGAGGCTAATGCAATTACTTATGCAGGGTGCAACTGGATTACAGAGGTATCAAAAGATGCTTTGACGATTAAGAACTTCATCATGAATCACTCAATGAGGTTGGCTATGTTCAATGAGCATTCGAAGATGAAGCTTCTTTCAATTGCTGATACCCGATTTGCTTTATGGATCATCATGCTAACGATGATTAAGAGAAGCCTCAAAAATATGGTTTTTAGCGACCGTTGGAGCTTGTACAGAGATGATGATGTGGGAAAAGCACAGTTTGTTAAGGAGAAAGTGTTTGATGACTTGTGGTGGGATAGGGTGGATTATATTATTGCTTTCACTGCTCCTATATATGATATGATCTGACTCACCGATACCGACAAGCCCAGCCTTTATTTGGTATATGGTATGTGGGATACAATGATTGAGAAGATAAATATTGTTATTTATAGACATGAGGGCAAAAGAGAAAATGATCCCTTCTCATTTTATGATGTCGTACACAAGATCTTGGTGGATAGATGGAATAAGAGCAACACGCCACTTCAGTGCTTGGCGCACTCTTTGAATCCAATGTAATAATTTAGATTATGTTATCAAATCATTATTTTTGATGTGATTATTTTTATTAATAATGTCTAATTCAATGTTAAACTTTAATAGATATTATCACGAGATATGGCTCAATGAGAATATCCATCGGCAAGCACCCCATCAGGATGAGAAGGTCTCTTCAGAAAGGTCTAAGTGTCTAAGAAGATATTATCCTAATGCTGATGAACGGATGACAGTTAACTTGGAATATGCTAGATTCTCGGCCTCTCTTGACACTTTTAGTGATCTAGATGCTCTTGCTGATAGAGGATTGATAGATCCAAAACTATGGTGAGTGCTCTATGGATCCTCAGCTCCCAATCTGCAAGCATTGGCCTTAAAGCTTCCGGGTCAACCCTGCTCATCCTCTTGCTGCGAAAGGAATTGAAGTACATATTCATTCACTCTTTGAAGAGGAACAATATGACATGGACAAGGGCAGAAGATCTTGTGTATGTGCATAACAATCTTCGTTTGCTTTCTCGGCCATCCTAAGAATATCAAGGAGGAGAATCGAAGCTGTGAGATATTGGTGGAGATGCATTCGACTCATTTCAGGGTGTCGGAATTCTTGATGTCGCCACCTTGTGTCTTGATGAACCCACCATGGAGGCCATATTATTTGCTGATGATGAAGGCAATGAAGAAGTCATCGGACTAGCTTCCACTTCATCTTGATATACTTTTTATTTATAAACTTGTTATTTTGTGATAGAATGAGTATGTACTCTAATTTCTTTTTGTTTACAAACTTGTTATTTTGTGATAGAATGAGTATGTACTCCAATTTCTTTTTGTTTACAAACTTGTTATTTTGTGATAGAATGAGTATGTACTCCAATTCCTTTTTGTTTACAAACTTGTTATTTTGTGATAGAATGAGTATGTACTCCAATTCCTTTTTGTTTACAAACTTGTTATTTTGTGATAGATTCATATCTTAGATTATTAGTTGAATTTTATAAATTTTTCTATATATAATAATAATTTAAAAAAATCCTTGGTGCATCTCTGTATCCTATTTTTTTGGATTTTGTCATATCCTGTATCCATGTCCGTGTCGTATGCGTTCCCATATCCGTATCTGTGCATCATAGATGATCGTGTTATTGAAAGATTATTATAAATTGCATCATATAATTTTAGAGGGTTTGTCGATTACTTACTATGATAAGAGATTTTTGTACTTTGAATTACTACTTCACGAAGGTTTATTAAAATAATTATAGAGAAACAGATTACAAAATGTAGAGTAAATGTAGAAAATAAGGTATTTAGTAATTGAATCTTTACTTTTATTTTTCATGATTAGAAATTAGCTAAACATAAAGCTCCTTCTTAATATAGGGTTTACTTGAGACCACGAAAGTTTGTTGATATAAAAAAGATAGAGCAAAATTCTAATTTTCTTGAATCTTCAATTCTTTTAAATGAAACCCAGTACAGTGAAGGCTATAACGATAGTTATAATGATGGCTTGCTCTCAGGAGAGGAAGAGGGAAGAGAGGTGGGTATGAAAGTAGGCTTCAAAGTATGCAAAGAACAAGGATTCTACCGTGGATGTGTTGATATCCGGAAATTAGTGGTTCGGTTTGACTCAAGAGCATTCTCGTCAAGCATCCAAAAAACCATCGACCAATTGAGCGAGCTGTTAAACAAGTATCCACTTCTTGAACTAGAGAATGAAGGGATCCAGGAGATGATGGCTGCCATTAGGTTGAAATTCAGACTTATTTCAATAAATTTCGGAGTGAAGTTAGAGTATCAAGGGTATCCAAATCATCCAAACAAGAATTTGAAGATATTTAGTTTCTAACAGCTATATGTAATGTGTTTTGGTTATATGTTTTGAAGAATAGCCCATGAGGATATGTACTTATGGTTCCTTTCTTCACACTTCTTTTATTATTTTTTTCTTAAGATATTAGAGTATTAGACTTTGTATTCTGAACTTTTGAGTTCAAATCAATGTTTGCATTACTTTATCTTGCACGCAGAATGATTATTATATCATATTGCGTTCATGACTTTACTCTTTCAGAATTCTTACTAATATGTCCTAAATAAGTACCAACAATCAGATTGGTGCATGATGACCTGATACACATAGCATTCATGTGATATTGAAAATATATCATGACGTCCTTTTCATTGGTTTGGAATCAATTACATTTCCTCGCTAGCATAAATTGCAATTTTTAGCTTTAAGTGTCTTCTATACATGGTGTATTAGCTTATAATTAATAATGATTGTGAGAGATGCTAGCATCTTTCATTCTCATGTTTTCATATTTGTTTTTATACTTTCCATAATTACACTTTCCTCGCAACATTTGAAAGCAAGGATTAATGAGGGTGTACATGAAAATCCACATTCTATTACCTCTTAAATAACGATCATTTTCAAAAATACCCCACACCCCACATCTTAGCATTTGCAAAATTACCCCTCAAATCACCAACTTTGAGAAAAAAATATCCCTAAAATCAACAAATTATCAACTTGGCGCTAAAACTTTGACTATTTTATTGATAATTTTTACATTGTGATTATAAATTAGCTTATCAAAGTTGATTAATTACTTTGAGCTAATTTTTTCTAAAATTGATGACTCAACGGGTAACTTTACAAATACTGAGATTTAGAGGGTATTTTTGAAAATACCCATGATGTAAGGGGGATATGTGAAAAATTATAGATGAACTGCAATCTCTACCCCAAAATTACCAGTTGCCATGCGATATAATCTGTCTTCTAACCCTAATTAATTTCCCTAAATTGGATAATATATTCCTTTCAACTTTACTTAAAGATGAGAAAAGGGCAATAATTATAACATCAAACAATTTCTCAAGCATAGACAAGCAGCACCTAATCCACATAACTCAAACTAAACCAAAATATCTAACTAGATCTACTAAACCCCCCCTTAATTATCAAGAAATCAACCGTAACTATCATAAAAAGAACAGATTTTTCCACCAGAAATAACTCAGATTCACAAATAAATTAACAAGATCAGAACTTTCTATAAATCAGGCGATAAGTAAAACAGAATTAAAATAAGGAAACTAACTTTTTGCCTTTGGGAGTTTTGAGATCGGAAACCCTAGCTCGAGACTTGACGAAAAGGTGGAAAACAATCGAAGTATCACGAGGGAGAAGGGATTTCTTTCTTCTGTGTATTTAAAGAGGAGCTTTGCTACGGGACCAAGAATATGGAACTAATAGGAGAGATAACTGACGTGTCCTCTTCTTATTAGATAATGAGTTGGTCATCATTAATAATGGTTAACTCATTATTCAATTGGAGGAGACACCTCACTTGTCCCCTCTATTAGTCCCATATTTTGGGTCATTGAGTAATTTTTCTTTAAAAAGAGAAGACGGCGGTGACCTCATCCCACGCGGTATTCTGTTCCGCGGTTTCTCAATCTTTCACCGCACGTCCCTCTTATCCGAAGCCTTAACCCGATTGGTGCCCGAGTCGGTAGTTAGCGGGTTACGGGTTTGAAGTTATCTAACCCGGTTTGTGTTGGTGAGAGCAAATACTCAATATTGTGGAATAACCCCATTAGATTTAAATTGGGAAAATATCCTCAGTTTCCTCGATTTAAAATAACGAAATTATTCACAACATCATGCAGAATATTTTCAGATAGGTTGACCAGAGCTGTCTTTGCGCTTCAATTGAAAAGTGTCTTGATGGAATTAGAAGTGCTATATAATTAATTAGGAGTAGTTGGAATTTCTTACAACACCATGTACTTCCACGTAATTAACTGGAACACCCTGTAATATGATATTTACAATTCCAACTAGTAATTCCGATAAAAAAAATACTTGTAGCAAACATCTCGAATTTAATGTGAACATACATGCCGCATGTGAAATTATAAAAATATTGCTAGGTAGGTAGAGATTATTCTAGATTTTAGTAACTTTTGACTTTTATGATCAAAATACTATAAAAATTATTTTGCTATAACAAAAATTTGTTTGATTGAACCTAGGTTGTTTCGGTGAGCTTAATTAGAAGCTAGTTTTTCAAAAACTAGGATACACTAGCTTTTTGGAATTGGACTTATAAGCTAACTTATCCGGTGCTCTACAAAGAACGAATTTTTAAACTTTTGAGTTGGTTACTATAACATGCATATACATCAATGAAAACTTTCGAGTACGGTTTAAATGTCAATCTTTTCATTTTTTTATTATGTTTATGATAATTGTATAAAAAGCAAAATATCCGTATAGCCTATTGTTTTTTAACTTTGATATACTGTATATTCATGCTAAATATAAATTTTTAAGATTGTGCTTGGCACATGGAATATCAGATTATATCATTCTCATTAATTTGATATATCTATAAATTAGACTTTGGGAAAGTACATAGTCTAAAGAGCCCCTAAGTAGATAGTCTAAAGAGCCCCTAAGTTTAACTCCTATTTCTAAAAAGGCACTAAGTTTTGGGATATCGAATTTAAATTTTGTAGAACTTTATGGTATTTTTCTAGGCAAAGAAAAACTGTAGGCTATCAAAGTTGTTAAAGAAAGAGGTAAATTACACTAAGGCCCCAAGAAAATTCTGAGTTTTGTAGTAAACCACCAATAACTTGCACTAAACCCCAAAAGATATTGGGGTAAATCACACTAAACCTCCAATAACTTTGAAAATGCCTTTTTGTTTTGTTTTTTTGTCTCTAACCAATGAGGTTATCGACAAAATGTGGAAATTTATTATGGGTTTTCTGCAATTCCGAAAGTCATTGGTGGTTTGTTGCAATTTTAGAAGTTCTTGCGGGTTTACTGCAAAGTGCTCAAGAGTTCTTGGGGTTTTAGTGTAATTCACCTTTTTATTTTTATGGAAATCTTTTCACTCTTATCCGCGGTTCAAGGCATAACGTAGCTAAGGAGCCTCCCATACTCAAAATTCTAAAGTTTACAAATAAGCCTTTTTTACTCTTTCCAAATTAATAAGTTTACTGAATTCTTATAGGAATAGGACTCTTTGGGGTATAAATAATGCACCAAATCCACTTTTTTTTCTCACCAAATATTTCTCAGAGTTTGAAGCAATTACCACCTGCTCTCTCTCTCTCAAAGGTTCGGTCTTGGTCTCTCTCTTTTTTATTCAATGATGACTTTTTATCCAATTACTGCTTGTATTGTTATGTTGTAATATGAGACCCTAATGTTGTGCATCTCGAAACTATTTTGATTCGACTATTGTTTCAATCGGTAGTTGTTGGTTTAGAGTTATTTTTCTTGTATATCTGAGAGTTGTTTTGAGATGAAACTATATATATAGAAAAGTAGGAATTGAAGAATTTTCAGCAATCTAATTAATATTTTTATTTGGTTATAGAGCTTGTTTATTAGTATCGTATTATAAAAATCATATAGTCTTTTTATCTTCTTTCCACTGGTTTCAATTAATTTTTGAAGTTTTTGTGGTTCTTTGAAGGAATTAGAATCATGAAGAAGGCTTTACGTAGGTTTATGATGTTCGGATGTGTTTGATAAGTTTGATTATAGAGTTTGATTAGTGGATATTGTATCTGGCTCTACGAAGATACCATTTTCTTTCACTTTTATGGGGTTATAAGGTAAGCTAAGTTATTTAGAAGTTTTAAGACTGATTTTTTTTTTTTTTTTTTGAGTTGCCACTTTTTTTTGTTATTTTAGAGAAAATTACCTAAACTTTTGAGGACTTCCCCCCCTAGTTTCCTGTTTTCTTTTTTGTTATTCATCTGCGTTACGAGGGTCTTCTCTGAAATTCTAATTTTTTGACGAATCGGATTCTTATTCGTAGAACTTTGTTCGGAAAAAAAAAATTCCCTGTCGATCGTCATATCCGTTGGTACGTTCTACAGATGCAGATTTTCGTCAAGACCCTCACCAGAAAGACCATCACTCTGGAGGCCGAGAGCTCGGACACCACTGACAACGTGAAGGCCAAGATCCAGGACAAGGAGGGCATCCCCCCTGACAAACAGAGGCTGATCTTTGCTGGGAAGCAGCTGGAGGACGGCCGCTCCCTCGCAGACTACAGCATCCAGAACGAATCTACCCTCCACCTTAGGGGTGGTGGTATGAAGTTTTTCTTTTTCAGGAAGCTATTTGGCGGATGGAAGTCGAATAAGGTTGATCTACAGATGCAGATTTTCGTCAAGACCCTCACCAGAAAGACCATCACTCTGGAGGCCGAGAGCTCGGACACCACTGACAACGTGAAGGCCAAGATCCAGGACAAGGAGGGCATCCCCCCTGACAAACAGAGGCTGATCTTTGCTGGGAAGCAGCTGGAGGACGGCCGCTCCCTCGCAGACTACAGCATCCAGAACGAATCTACCCTCCACCTTAGGGGTGGTGGTATGAAGTTTTTCTTTTTCAGGAAGCTATTTGGCGGATGGAAGTCGAATAAGGTTGATTCGCTGGAGGGAGCACCAGAGGTGCGAGAGGACCATCTAGGTTCTCTGCAGCCGATGCAGTTTGCGGGTAGGGTCGAGGGCTGTGAGGTACGCGTATTTGTCGCCATGGCAGCTTTGAACAATTATGTGGATCCTAGGATCGTCCAAAGAGCCGCACTGCCTATCAACACTAGCAAACGCCGTTCAGCCGTGCTATCCGATGGGAAGAAGGTTCGAGGAGAAGGGATGTGTGAGGCTGTGCCTTTGGATATACAAGGAGTCATCGTGCCATCAAACTTGTTTATCGTTCCGATGAGTGAGCCTAAGATTATCCTGGGAACCGTTTGGCTCAGGTCACTTGGAACCGTGGCATATAATCTAAATGCCGGAACATTTCAATTTCGGAGGAGGAATGGCGAGAAAGTTACCCTGAAAGGGGCATCGCAGGACACCACCGTATTGCCTGATTGGGACACCTAGAGGTAATAAGCGATATAAAGGACACCACCAGACAAAATCCTGAATCCCCAGTTGGAGGATAGGAGTAAACTCCAAAGGCAGACTGCGGAGTTTTTTATTTTCTTTTCTTTTTTCCCCTTTTGTAGCATGTCCTTGTTATTCTTCTGGAATTTGTTTATCTTAATTTTGAACCATTATCTGTTGCCTGATTGTTGCGTTCAGAGGAATTTATCCGTTGATGTTTAGGAATTAATATCTGAGTCATGTTGAATGCTTTTGTCCGTACTGAATCAGAGTGAAGGGTCTATCTCTAACAAAGGGGATGGAGTTGAATTCTATGCTGTTGTGCGTCTAAGTTTTGTACGTGACTACGTGCAGATGAAGAAGCATGTCGTGCCTAAGTTTTGAGGATGATATAACCGTCTCAAAAGTTATACAATCGACATCGGAGAAAGAGTAAACTCAATATGATGTTGCTGAAACAAATTTTCCTTCAGTTAACTTGTACAATAAACAAAGCAAATTTGAGTTTTCTTCCTCACAGTTTCACGCAAGAAAATAGAACCTGTAAATTAAGGAGAAAAGAGATTCTGAAATGCCTGCAAAATACAACATGCAACAAGCACATAGGTGCGACATACTTCATACAACATGCAACATGAAGCTTCAAACTCTTACAGCAAACCACAATACATCAAACCATACACAAAACATCAAACATGTATCTTGGCAGACATTGAAAAAAATCAAAGGGTAGTAATAATCCTGTTTTATATGACTAACTGTTGGAAAGTTCAATCTAGAAAGTAATTCGTTTTCTTCATTGAAATTAATATTTTGGAGAAGAAGTTTCAGTAAGGCAACTAGGTGGTGAACCTGGATCAGTAATTCTTCCAAATTGTCAGCTGAATTTGAAATGATTTCAATTGTCAATTAGGAAGGGGACTCGTAACTTCCAGACATAATAATGAGAATTTAGAGGATGAAAAAGTCTTTTGCTTAGCATGCTTTGTGAGCATCCCAACTGAATAAGTGGATAATGCATTTATGCATCCAGACATTTATTTCCAATAAAATCAACAAAAGAAACTAAACAATTGATGCTATCGATCTTATTGTTCAAACAACAGGCTATACAAAAACACTAGAATATCCACACAAAAAAAACAAGAAATTTAAGTTTTTGGCTGTAATCACCAATAATCCCCACAAGAACAAGATCCTTGTGAAAAATGATGAAATCTATTAGTATCCCTAATAATAAATTTCCTTGAAACAACTTTAGATATTACCTTGATTGCATTATGGCAATCCCCACAAACTCTCAGGTTCTTTGCAATCCTTATAGGCACATTTGGAGGAGCTTTCAACAAACCAAAAGCAATGGCTAGCCTCTCACTATGACTGCACAGCAATTTTTTCTTATCATCATCCTCTATATCAAGCAACACAAATTTCAGAGAAGGAACATGACCTGCCTTAACTATAAGTTCATCTAATCTTGCCAACATCTCATATATCTCATTAATCTCCAAATGTGACTTATCATGAGCACCAAATATATAAACTTTGTCTTTAATCTCAATCCAACTATACCCAGCATCTTTTGACAATCCTTTGGTGACCATCAACTTCCTTATTCTTCCTGCATCATCCCACCTCCCTACTGAGGCATAAATGTTTGATAAAATCACATAATTTGCTGCGTTTTCGGGTTCTAGCTCGAAAAGCTTGTAGGCTGATCTCTCACCAAGCGCTACATTACCATGAACTTGACAAGCTCCAAGCAATGTTCCATATACACTACCAGTTGGTTTTACCCTCATTTTCTCTATAAACTTCTCAGCTTCATCAAGTCTTCCCCCTCTCCCAAGCATATCAACTACACAAGAATAGTGTTCAATACGAGGCTCAATACAGAATTTCTCTGACATACTTTCGAAAATCTCAATCCCTTCATTAACAAGTCCACCATGACTACAAGCCGAAAGGATCACAACCAAAGTGATATAATTTGGCTTCAACCCTTGATCTTGCATTATTCGAAACAATTCTAATGCCAAATCGAATTTTCCATTCATTGAGAATCCTTCAATCATAGAAGTCCAAAGAACGACGTTTCCTCTCCCCAAGCTATTAAAAATCTTAAAAGCGCCTTCATAATCTCCGCATCTAGAGTACATCGTCACTAGTGAGGAACCAACTATCAAATTCAAATTGAACCCGTTTCGGATGACCCAACCATGAATAGCTTGGCCTTTCCTAAAACTAGAAAAGAAGCCACAAGCAGGCAATAACGAAACAATGGTAACCTCATTGGGTTTAATACCGTCCTCAACTTGCATTCCGTAGAACAATGCAAACGACTCAGAGAACTTCTCTAACGAGGAAAACACCCGAATCATAGAAGACCAAGAAACGACGTTTCTGGTAGGCATTCTATCGAACACTTTCTTTGTATTATCAATAACCCCAGCAGACCCATAAGCATTAATAAGCGAGTTATCAACGGATAAATGATTTCTAATCCCACACTTAACCAATAACGAATGCAACTGACCTGTTAATTTGAGAAAACCCAATTCAGCTGAAGCTCTCAACAAGACCGAAAAAGTGTAACCATCTGGTTCAGCTCCATGTTCAAGCATTTTAGAGAAAATGTCAAAACTTCCACTTGGGTTTCCATTTCTAGTGTACCCACTGATCAATGAAGTCCAGATGAACGTATCCAAGTTCCTCTTTGGAATTCTATCAAACAGTTCTCGAGCATTATCGATTCGGCCACAAACAGAGTAGAGTTTGATGAGTTTTGGAAGCAAGTCTCTGTTTTTTTCAAACCCAGCTTGTTTAATTTGGGAGTGAAGCTCTTTTCCTTGTGTGAGAGAGCGAGAGTCGATGCAGGATTGGAGAAGAGTGCTGAATTCTGACGAGGAGACGGGCATGAGCTTGGTTTTGGGTAGTTTGAGAGAAATGGGTTTTGGGTTATTTCGAGAGGATATTGAAGAGGAAACCGATACTATAAGTGGGTTGCTTGTTGGAGAGAATGCCATTGTTTCAATTTGTTAGTTTTGAGAAAGTAAAATAGTTACCCGTAGAATGTAGGGTTATTTGCATATAAACCCCTTTCGCCATCGGTACTTTTAGACATACCCTCCAAATCTCAGTAGTGCAAAGTACCCCTTGAATTATTGTTTTGGAAAAAATTACCCTCAAAGCAATTAATCATTAAATCTGATAAGCAAACTTATAATCGCAATGAAAAAATGATCAATAATGTAGTCAATTTTTTAGCACCAAGTTGAAGAATTTGTTTATATTGGGGATATTTTTTTTTCACAAAATAATGATTTGAGGGGTAGTTTTGCAAATACTAAAACCTTGAGAGTATTTTTGGCAAATACCCATGATTTAAGATGTGATATGATTGGATATTTCACGTGCACCCCTTATTATTCCTTTGCTTTCAAATATTTCAAGGAAAGTGTAATTATGGAAAGTATGAGAACAAATACGAAAACATGGGAATGAAAGAGACTAGCATGTCTCACAATCATTATTAAGTGTAAGCCAATACACCATATATAGAAGGCATTCAAAACCAGAAATTGCAATTTATGCTAGTAAGGAAATGTAATTGATTCCAAACCAATGAAAATGACATCATGATATTTTTAGTATCACATGAATGCCATGTGTATTAGGTCATCATGTACCAATCTGATTGCTGATACTTAAGGACATATTAGTAAAAATAGAAATGTTAGAGGCATACCTTTAAACCACACTCTCAACCACATCCCTCTCTCTCTATAGTGCTTCTTGGGACCCACATGTTTCATTAAAAAAATCTAAAAAACAATATAGAGAGAGAGGGATGTGGTTAGGAGTGTGGTTTAAGGGTGTGTCCCTAGCACCACTCTAGTAAAAAACCTAAAAGAGCAAAGTCGAGACACACTCAATATGATATAACAATCATATTGTCTTCAAGATAAAGTAATGCAAACATTAATTTGAACTCAAAAGTTTAGGACTACAAAGTCAAATATCTTGAGAAAAACATAACAAAAGAAGTGTGAAAAAAGGAACCATAAGTACACATCCTCATGGGCTATTCTTCAAAACATATGACCAAAACACATTATGTACAACTCTTAGAAACTAGATATCTTCAAACTCCTGTTTGGATGATTTCGGATACCCTTCATATATACTCCAACTTCACCTCCAAATTTGCCGAAATAAGTCTGAATTTCAACCTGATGGCATTCATCATCTCCTGAATCCCCTCATTCTCTGGTTCAAGAAGTGGATACTTGTTCAAGAGTTCACTCAATTGCTCGATGGTCTTCTGGATTCATGACGAGAATGCTCCTGAGTCAACCCGAACCACTGATTTCCAGATATCAACACATCCACGGTAGAATCCTAGTTCTTCTCCTATTTCGAAGCCTACTTTTAAACCCACCTCTCTTCCCTCTTCCTCTCCTGAGAGCAAACCATTGTTATAACCATCATTATAGCCTTCATTGTACTGGGTCTCTTCCCTCTTCCTCTCCTGAGAGCAAACCATTGTTATAACCATCATTATAGCCTTCATTGTACTGGGTTTCATTTAAAAGAACTGAAGATTCAAGAAAATCAGGATTTGGCTCCATCTTTTTATTATCAGCGAACTTTCGCGGTCTCAAGTAAAACCTGTATAAAGAGGGAGCTCTATGTTTAGCTAATTTCTAAAGTAGAATGATAGAGACAAGCTCTTGAATCTAAAGGTTTTAGGATAAGTAGAACAAAAACAGATGAGGTTTATGGACTTGAGCTTGGTCTTGGGTAATTTAAGAGAAATGGGTTTTGGGTTATTTTGAGAGGATGAGGTTTATGGACTTGAGCTTGGTCTTGGGTAATTTAAGAGAAATGGGTTTTGGGTTATTTTGAGAGGATATTGAAAAGGAAAGAGAAACTATAAGTGGGTAATTTAAGAGAAATGGGTTTTGGGTTATTTTGAGAGGATATTGAAAAGGAAAGAGAAACTATAAGTGAGTTGCTTGTTTGAGAAGATGCCATTGTTTCAATTTGTTAGTTTTGAGAAAGTAAATAGTTATCCATAGAATGCAGGGTTATTTTCATATACCTCCTTATATCATGGGTATTTTCAAAAATGCCCTCCAAATCTCAATATTTGTAAAATTACTCCTTGAATCATCGACTTTGATAAGAACTTATACTCACTATGTAAAAATTATCAATAGAATAGTCAAAGTTCTAGCACCAAGTTGATAATTTGTTGATTTTAGGGATATTTTTTCACAAAGGTGGTGATCTGAGGGGTAATTTTGTAAATACTAAGATGTGGTGAGTATTTTTGAAAATACCCATTATTTAAGAGGTAATGGAATTGGATTTTTCATGTACACTCCTCTCATTAATCCTTTAATTTCAAATATTGCGAGAAAAATGTAACTATGGAAAGTATAAAAACAAATATGAAAACATGAGAATAATATAGCCTACCATGTCTCATGATCATTAGTAACTATAAGCCAATACACCATATATAGAAGGCATTCAAAACCAGATATTGCAATTTATGCTAGTAAGGAAACGTAATTGATTCCAAACCAATGAAAAGGACATCATGATATTTTCAGTATCACATGAATGCCATGTGTAGTAGGTCCATCATCATATACCAATATGATTGCTGATACTTGGTAAGAACATATTAGTAAAAATCATGAAAGAGCGAAGTCATGAACACGCTCAATATGATATAATAATCATTCTGTGTCCAAGATAAAGTAATGCTAACATTAATTTGAACTCAAAAGTACTTACAACAAAGTCTAATACTCTAATATTAAAAAAAAAAAAAAGATAACAAAAGAAGGGCGAAAAGAGGAACCATAAAGTACATGTCCTCATGTGCTGTTCTTCAAAATATATAACCAAAACACATTGCATACAACTGTTAGAAACTAAATATCTTCAAATTCCTGTTTGGATAATTTCGGATACTCTTGATACTCCAACTTCACTCTGAAATTCGCCGAAATAAGTATAAATTGCAACCTAATGGCATCCATCGTCTCCTGAATCCCCTCATTCTCTAGTTCAAGAAATGCATACTTGTTCAACAGCTCGCTCAATTGCTCAATGGTTTTCTGGATTCTTGACGAAAATGCTCCTGAGTCAATCTGAACAACTAATTTCTAGATATCAACACATCCACGATAGAATCCTAGTTCTCCTCTTACTTCGAAGCCTACTTTTAGACTCACCTCTCTTCCCTTTTCCTCTCCTGAGAGCAAGCCATCATTATAACCATTGTTATAGCCTTCACTTTACTGGGTTTCATCTAAAAGAACTGAAGATTCAAGAAAATCAGGGTTTGGCTCCATCTTTCTGATATCAACAAACTTTCGTGGTCCCAAGTAAAACCTATATAGAGAGGAAGCCATATGTTTAGCTAATTTCCAATCATTGAAAATAAAAGTAAAGATTCAATTACTAAATACCGTATTCTCTACAGTTACTTTAAATCTTATAGCCTATTTCTCTATAGTTACTTTAATAAACCTTCGTGAAGTAGTAATTCACAGTACAAAAACCTTGTAGCATTTTACTGTTTATTAATCGAGGTGTTTGTTTTTGTTGTATTTTTTAGAAAAACACCATGTCATGGTGTTTTTTTTCAAACATGTTTGAAAACACCGTTTATAGTTATTATTTATAAAGCGGCGGCGGCGGCGAGCGGTGTGGCCGCGGCACTGACCGACGGGGCGGGCGGACGTCCGATGGCGAAACGTCGGTGATGGGGCACGAACAATACCGTCGGCGGGCCGGCAACATGCGGGCGGCGGCGAGCGATGGGGCGGTGGTGGGCGACGGGTATGTGCGACGCGGGCCGCGTGGGCAGCCAACGTCGCCGTCCGGGCCGTGCGGTTTTATTTGGCAATAGGCTCACTTTTTTTTCTTTTAGCATTTTCCGACGTATTGCTTTTTGCGCTAGGCGACGATGTGCGGCGCAGCGGCGTATGCTGCGCGGCGCTGAGACGTCGGGCCGCGAGCCACTAAACACACATCAACCTCCTCCTGTTTCATTCTAAATTGTGTTGTTTTCACCCCCGGGCGCGGCGCATGGCGCGGCGGGCAGGCGGCGCGCCCGGGGGCGCGCGAATGGGTCGGCCGGCGGGCAGACGACCGGCCGGGGCACGCGACGGAGATAGGCGGGTGGCTGCAGGCTGCCGGACGACGGGCTGGCAGCATGCGCGACCTCGACGACTTAGATGAAAAAACAGAATCTCAAAACACATTTTTGGTGTTTTGAGGAAAGTGTTTATTTTTTGGATTTTGTAAAGGGTCAAGTCAAAAAACGCCCCGGTTGCCAAACGCGTTTTATTGTACAAAAACAAAAACAGAAACAGCAAAAACACAACGGTTGCCAAACGCTCAAGTAATCGACAAACCCTCTAAAATTATATGATGCAATTTATAATAATTTTTCGATAACACACCATCATTATCTCCATCCTTTTTCCCCCTTCATCATTTTAGAGAAAATTAGGATTTGGTTTCATTTACATATAGAATAGAATTCCTGTTCTATATCCCTCTTCAACTCCTCCTCTTCCTTTATCTCTTTTGTCTCAAAACTCGAAATTCAATTCCATTGTCTAGTTTAACAAACATGCTGCAACATGAAAAATGTAATCTTTGATGTCCCCAATTACAGACATGATTACTGAAGCTATAAAAGAAATAAAAAAAAGAACTGGTTGCATAACAAAGAACATACTTAGACTCAAAAAAAAAAAGGTAAATAATAAAATAAAACCAACACCAAAACATATTCAAATATACATCATTATACAACAATCAATGGAGGCAAAAAAAATCAGTATATCTCCTCAAAATAATTAAAAAGAAGACAGCTTTTAGATTTTCCAAAATCAAGCAACTAATAATCGAAAAAAAGGGCAGAAACTAAATCATGATCAAATTGATCATATTCAATCGTCTGTGGAGCAAGTCGATTAATGCAAGAAGCGGAGGAATCGCGAGAAGAGGAGACGGCAGCGAGAGAAGAACTAAAAAACTAGGGTTTTTTGGTTGTACAACACGGATTTTTCATGTTGAGGGAGAAAAAGGAAGCGGTCTTTCAATTTTTATATACCACCCCCTGAATCTTTTATATTTCTGTAATTTTTGACACATCTATTCCAATTTGTAAGCGTTTGAACTTTGAAGCCACCTTTCAATTTTTACTGATTTATTAGTTTATTTTTTGAACTGTGATTTTTTTAATGCGAGAAACTTTGGCTTAATAACAGCTACTTGTTAATAGTACAAGTGAATAGCACAAATATTACGAAACCTAATAATTAGAAATTGGGAATAGACAAGGCCAAAAACCCTTCGACTTTTTGAAATAAGACTCCATAGCTACGTAGGAGGTGAATTCTAATTTTACATTGAATATTTTACCCCCTCCCTTTACTTTTCTCAAAATTTTCGTTTAAGTACCTTTTAGATTATTTAATAACATGAAGATATTTATTAAATGAAGATATTTTAGTTTATTGGAAGGCGAAATGGAAATTTATACGTTTTCAATGGAAAAGAAATTATATTAATTGAAATAGTGAAGTCTCTATGTGAGAAACATGTATATCCTTGTCATATGAGGAGCGTGGTAATATCGTGACTCAATTTATGACGAGATGAATAAATAAGAAGGGAGAAATCTCAACAATGTTTGGTTAAGATTGAAGATATCTGAGAGAATTCCATAGAGTAAATATTACATTTATTAACCAAGGGACTAACATTAAAAATATGAAAGATACATGGGACGAATTTAAAAACAACGCCCTTAAAAGAAGCCATACAAGGGCAGGCACGGTTAAAAAAGGAAACCCAAAAGCCTCCTTTTTTGGTTTCTGATTAAAGAGTTTTCTCAATTTTTTATCGGATTTTCTCTCAAATGTTCGGTCTATGTATTTTTTTGGAGAATTATTTTTTTAATTTATGCTACTCTTGTAAATTAGTATCTGTTAATTTACAAGGTCTCCTCCGAGTTTTTGTTAGAGTCCGGATATGGTAGTTAAATTTTCGTTAACTTTTGGGATATCTAATTTAAATTTTGTTGAACTTTAAGGTATTTTTACATGTGAAGAAAAACTTTAGGCTATCAAAGTTGTTAAAGAAAGAGGTAAATTACACTAAGCCCCCGAGAAATTTCTGATTTTTGCAATAAACCACCAATAACTTGCACTAAACCCCAAAAGAGATTGGGGTAAATCACAATAAACCTCCAAGAACTTTGAAAATGCCTTTTTATTTTGTTTTTTTGGCTCTAACCAATGAGGTTATAGACAAAACGTGGAAATTTATTGTGGGTTTTCTGCAATTCCAAAAGTTATTGGTGGTTTGTTGCAATTTTAAAAGTTATTGGGGTTTACCTCAAAATGCATGCTGAGAGTCCTTGGGGTTTTATTAGTGTACACCCTTTATTTTTACGGAAATCTTTTCACTCGTAGTCGTATCGGCGGTTCAAGGCATAACGTAGCTAAGGAGTCTCTCATACTCAGGACTGTAAAGTTTACAAATAAGCCTTTTTATTCTTCCGAAATTAAAAAGTTTACTGAATTCTCATAGGAATAGGACTTTCTTGGTGTATAAATAAAACACCAAATCCACAAGCTTCTCTTTCTCAGAGTTTGAAGCAACCATCAACTGCTCTCTCTCTCTCTCAAAGGTTCGGTCTTGATCTCTCTCTTTTTTTTTTTTATTCAATGAGTTCTTGGGGTTTTAGTGCTCTCTCTTTTAGCCTCTTATGCCGTTAGGCTCTTTGAGACTCGACTTAAACTGGTATATATTAGAAGTAATTTCATCGCAATCCACCCTCTGATTGTTCTCATGCATTAAGTTTGTTTCTCACTATCGTGATTTAAGCTGCTCATGCAGTATATGTTTGGGTTTTAGTTTGCCCGTCTGCGTTACGAGGGTCATCTCTAAAATTCTAATTTTTTGACGAATCGGATTCTTATTCGTAGAACTTTGTTCGAAAAAGAAAAAAAAAATTCCCTGTCGATCGTCATATCCGTTGGTACGTTCTACAGATGCAGATTTTCGTCAAGACCCTCACTGGCAAGACCATCACTCTGGAGGCCGAGAGCTCGGACACCGCTGACAACGTGAAGGCCAAGATCCAGGACAAGGAGGGCATCCCCCCTGACAAACAGAGGCTGATCTTTGCTGGGAAGCAGCTGGAGGACGGCCGCACCCTCGCAGACTACAGCATCCGGAACGAATCTACCCTCCACCTTAGGGGTGGTGGTACGAAGTTTTTCTTTTTCAGGAAGCTATTTGGCCGATTGAAGTCGAATAAGGTTGATTCGCTGGAGGGAGCACCAGAGGTGCGAGAGGACCATCTAGGTTCTCTGCAGCCGATGCAGTTTGCAGGTAAGGTCGAGGGCTGTGAGGTACGCGTATTTGTCGCCATGGCAGCTTTGAACAATTATGTGGATCCCAGGATTGTACAAAGAGCCGCACTGCCTATCAACACTAACAAACGCCGTTCAGCCGTGTTATCCGATGGAAAGAAGGTTCGAGGAGAAGGAATGTGTGAGGCTGTGCCTTTGGATATACAAGGAGTCATCATGCCATCGAACTTGTTTATCGTTCCGATGAGTGAACCTAAGATTATCCTGGGAACTGTCTGGCTCAGGTCGCTTGGAACTGTGGCATATAATCTAAATGCCGGAACATTTCAATTTCGGAGGAGGAATGGCGAGAAGGTTACCCTGAAAGGGGCATCGGAGGAGGAGGAGTGGCCAGAATTTGGGCGATATGGCGAGGGAATTACACTGAAGGCGGCATCAGATGAGAGCAGCGGCGGAGCTACAGAGAGCCATGTGCTGTCGCGGGACACCACTGTATGTCCTGTTTGGGACACCTAGGACACCACTAAGAACGATAAAATTGTACAATCGTCACATTCGCGGCCTACTTTTAGAATTAGTAAGTGATATAAAGGACACCACCGGACAAAATCCTGAATCCCCGGGTTCGTCCATAACACGTACTTCTGTGTCCAGACCGTGTAAATTCTCTATGATCTTATAGTAGTCCTTGTTATTCTTCTGGAATTTGTTTATCTTAAATTTGAACCATTATCTGTTGCCTGATTGTTGCGTTCTGAGGAATTTATGCATTGATGTTGAGGAATTAATATCGAGTCATGTTGAATGCTTTTGTTTGTACTGAATCAGAGTGAAGGTTCTATCTCTAACAAAGGGGATGGAGTTGAATTCTATGCTGTTGTGCGTCTAAGTTTTGTACGTGACTACGTGCGGATGAAGATGCATGTCGTGCCTAAGTTTTGAGGATGATATAACCGTCTCAAAAGTTATACAATCGACATCGGAGAAAGAGTAAACTCAATATGATGTTGCTGAAACAAATTTTCCTTCAGTTAACTTGTACAATAAACAAAGCAAATTTGAGTTTTCTTCCTCACAGTTCCACGCAAGAAAATAGCTAGAACCTGTAAATTAAGGAGGATAAAGGAGAAAAGATATTCTGAAATGCCTGCAACAAGCACATAGGTGCGACATACTTCATACAACATGCAACATGAAGCTTCAAACTCTTACAGCAAACCACAATACATCAAACAATACACATTTTGCGAAACACCAGCTTAACTAACTGCAAAGATCACACACGGAGAAGAACTGAATTTTTAAGCATGAAAGTTGAAGCTTAATGTCTCGTCAGAATCCAGAATAAGCAAGCAACGGCTACAGATGTGTGACAAACTCCCCTCTTCAAACTCGTTGTTCGATTCTGAGATTCCATGTTATTCTTGGTACACCAAAGAGAGATTCTGATCTGAGATTCCGAGAATCTAACTCATCGCGTTGATGTTGGATTGCCACATTGTTATTCTTGGTGCATGAAATCTGCGTAGCAGAGAGCAGCCAGTAAAAAATCCTTGCAAGTACAGCTCACCAATTGTACCTTTGCAAGATTTCATTTGATTAATCAGATGTTTGGTTTGGCTCCTCGTGATAGTGGACTTATCAAGTCTCTCAGGGCCTCATCCTACTCTATTCATACCATTTAGGCTAATAGGGACACATTTAGGTTTTTCCCTATAAACCACCTTAAAATGGGGTCATTTTACAGAAATCATTTTTGTTTTCAATCTATACGTAAATCACCTTTAGGGGCTGTTTGGTTGTTGTTGGTAAAGTTATGTATTTATGACACAACTTGGAAAGTTGTTGTCCACCTCATCAATTTCACTTTTATACTTTTCTTTGTTTGTTTTTGATTCCATTGGAATCATAAATTGCTTGTTTGGTTTACAAATGTAACTTTAATTGTTTGTTTGGAAAGTGTAAAAAGTGGTCCCTACTCAAATGATCATATTGGTTAGAATTATTTTTTATTATTTTTTCCTAACTTCAATGTCAGCTTTCTTCTAAAATCATGTCTTTTTTTTTATGAAATCACTTTACAAGCCACATCAGCATATGAAATCACTTTACACAATTTTCACAACTACAAACAAACAATTGAAAGTGATGAAAGCTGACATTGGGACCCACTTTTTTACACTTTACATCCTTTTACATGGTAAAAACATACAACCAAACAGCCCCTTAAAGTAGGTTTTCTGATTAATCAAATGTTTGCTTTGTCTCCTTCTGATAGTGGACTTATTAAGTACATCGTTCTTTGCGGAGCGCTTTACACAACCTTTATATATTGCTTTGGACACTAATGGATTTAAGTAGCTTAAACTGGTTCACTTAAAAGTTTCTTATTACATAATGAACTTGAGTCCTTTGGGGCCAACATCTAATGAGTTTTAAAGGCTTGGGTTTGTGTAGTGAAGAATTAGTGATTTGTGGGTTGAGAAAATGATGATGAAATCGCTCATTTTATCTTGATTAGGGGTATTTACCTTAAAAGTATTTTCAAGTGAGTGCTCAAATCAAAATGCTCAAATCACTTTGATGAATTCGTACTAATATATGCAATACAACCCTAAAATGTAAAAGCAACATAAATGATGCGAAAAGGAAAATATTTTTTTTAATTAGGGTCAACAACTAAACAAATAAATGTGAGAGAGAACTCTTATTTGAATTTCTTGTTTAGAGTTGTTTAAGTGAAGGGTGGATTAGTAGGGTCGACAAAAGATTTTCTTAATTTTTTATTAGCACCTAATTGTATCTAATGTAAAAAGCCTAACTAGAGAGTGGAATTAAAAATACTAGAAAGAAAACTTACCTTTTCAAGCAAATATCTCTCTAATCTTCAACCTTCTCTTTTAAAGTTGTTCCTTCACACTAAAACACATAAACTAAAGAACCAAATAGAAAAATTCTAATTACAAGCACCTTCCATGGCAACAACGCCGAAAACTTGATGTTCTATGATAATAGTGTCGAGATTGTAAGTGCATAATCAAGTTATAATATTGATCCCATGAGGAACATGTTTGTTTGCTTCGGGAACAATTTTCTTTGTTGCTTCCATTAAATCGTTTAAAAGAAACACAAGAATAAGTTTTACACGTGTAACTCTCTTCTTTACAAAGAAAACAAAATTGTGCTCCCTAGTAACAAAATTGTGCATAATCAAGTTATAGAAACTCTACGTAGTAGTCTCTGCTTGCGTGGGATTCTTTGCCTGTGTCGGAGATGTGTTATCCATGGACCATCGAGTAATGTTTCCAAGTCGGATACGAAGAAGGCTTGAAGTTAATGTTTCGACGGGAAAACAAGAACAGAAGTAAGTGTCTTAGCAAGGTAAGACAAGTACTCTTCTCAAGATCATATCTAAGTTTGAACTCAAGGAAACACCAAAAGACTCTTGAGAATGCACGAGAGTGGATGAAAAACTCTCTCTTGCTCTCAAAGTTCGCCAAATGTCTGTCTCTCTCCTCCTCTTCCTATGCACAATTGTGCCAAGGGGTATTTATAGCCATTGGGAGCCATAACCATCAAGTAGGAGTCAAAGCACTTGGTGGTCACTGTCTCATGTGAGCGAGATAGTGTCCTTAGTCTTGGCCAAAGGAGACAGCTTTAGGCCCTTTGTAATCGCCTCCCACTACCTTAAAGAGCGTTAAATGCAGTATTTTTCGTGGGTAGTGGGTGTATTTCTAGGATATAACTGTCCGTTAATGTTAATGAGCGTTCCCAAGCAGTTATAGAGCCAATTGGACCCCTCAAAACCTCACAAAACCGTCGGAATCCTTGGGAGGCTGCCTCGTAGTTGGCGAGATAGCCACCACTGTCTCACGTATGCGAGACACTAAACTATCTCACATATGCGAGACAGTGGATACTGTCTCACCAACTGTGAGACAGCTACTCCAAGTATGTTTTGTATTCTCATTTGCTTCCTTTTGCATTGGATAATCTTCTCTGACTTAGATGGTGACGTTCTTCGTCTTCTCTCTATCTTGAGCTGATCGAATTTAGGACCTATAAGCAATTTTTGATGCCTACAGTGTTGTATAAAATAATTTAAATTGGTTCATAGAGTTGTGTGTGGACAAATAAGAGTGAAAGTCAAGAGACATATAAAGGGTGAGTGATTATATATAAATAAAAGAAAACTAGATAGAGAGGGAAGAAAGAGAAATGAAGAAATTAGATAGAAATAAAATTAAGAAAATAAATAAATAAAGAAAGAATAAAATAAAAAATAAAATCAATAAAGAGAAATTTGACCAAAAAGAGAAAAATCTCAACAAATAAAAGATGGAGGAAATCAATTAGAGAAATGAGAAATCTAGAATTGAATCTACTAGTTGGATTCATTTTGAATTTATGAACTACTTTCTTTTTATCATATTTAATTTTGATTTATTTATTAAGCATAGACTATCAAACCACTCAAAAAAACATAACCTACCAAGTTAATTATCATCTAAGTAAAATCAACATTCATGAAAATAACAATAACAAGATATTAATTCTGAAATTTATAAACATCACCTATCAATTTACTTAAGATAAACATAAATTATCAAATTCTTCTTCTACCACTTAGATTTTTAGTTGATTATCCTAAACATAATCATTTTAAGCACAAGAGAACAATCCACATATCATAAAAAAAATAAACTAGTTCATACAATCTTAGAATTCCTATAATATTTTAGTTCCACATTTTAGAAATTAAAAATAAAAAAATAAAATTTAAACTAGAGAGCATGAAAGAAAGAGAATAAAAATACATGGAAAAATCTAACTACAAAAGTAAGAATAATAACAAGAAAATAAAGGTATAAACTATGAGCATAGAAGTAAATCTAGACTTAAAAAAAACATGAAAGTAAACCACTACTTCCAAATGAAAATGTAAGAAAATAGCAAAAATAAAAACATGGAAGTAAAACTACTCTACATGGCATCAAAATAAATCTTATTTACCAAAAAAATAATATCCTAAAATATGAATATCTAAAGCAAAAAAAAAAAAGTTACATTGCAATAGGGTTCTGGCTACTTATATAGTAATTCCCTGTACAAGATATGGGGACAAAGTGAATTAGATGTTGTTAGTCCACAAGCAGTGGCGTAGCCGGGAATTTTTTTTACCCGGGGCGAAAAAATAATCCTGGCTGTCGATGAATCCCAAGGCGCAAACATCGGCAAAGGAGATGCCTCGTCCTCCTGCTCCTCCGTCATCAGAGTTGGTACAAAACCTAGCTTTGAACGGAATGCGTTTTGGTGTAGTGCTCATAGCTTTTTTCCATTGTCCTCGAATAGAATGACCAAAGATAATGCAAGTATAGGTATTGCAAAAAGTAAATCTTAGGTAGCATTATCCATCGGTCCTTGTTTGCATAGAGCATCATGTTGTAAGTGAATGTATCAAGCTCAACATCCCATTGTATTTTCATCTTCTTCTCTCTCTCTCTCTCTCTCTCTATATATATATATATATCCTTATCCTTCTTTCGAAGCTGATAATTCACAAGTGCAGCGGTGACCTCACTATACGAAAGTGATGCCTTCCCATTAATCAGAGTA